TCTAGGAAGAGGTCTCTTTCTGAATACCAAAGTTTTTTAAGTACAATAATTTTCCTTATTTTCTTTGTAGATGAATAAAGTAGATGCCGAAGCAGAACTTCAGACATATAAACATTCCCGACAAAGCCTGGATGAAATGTATAATGAAGCACACAGACAGCTTCGAGAAGAATCACAGTTAAGACAAGTGAGTGGGTGTCATATAAATTGTGAATGGCTACTGTTGCACATTCCTTGGCCTCAATCAGTTACATACAGGTAGTCCTTAACTTACTATGGGTCTCTTGGTGATCGTTCAGAGTTACCACTGACCTAAGACAGGGAACTTTTATGACTCAGATTTAAAGTTCTGACAGTTGGGCCTCCTCCGTGGTCACATGACTGAATTTTGGACGCTCGGCAACACAATTGCATATACAGCTGTTTGCAGTGTCTTGCAGTTATGTGACTGTATTTTATGACAAGTTTGCCAAAAACTGTTACTTATTTCCAGTTTTCAGCAAAACTGTGCTCATAACAAACCATTGGTTCACTTAACGGCCACCGTGATTTGCTTAACAACTATTGCAAGAAAGTTTGTAAAATCGTTTTGGTGACATGACTGACCCATTTTATGACTGTTATGACATATGACTGCAAAGGGCAGGCTCCATTACAGTTATATTGCAAGGACTTCCCGTACGTAGGTGGGTGCATGCAGTTGTCAATCATCAATCATGCTGTTTTGTTAGAGTCCGTTCAATCTAAAATTAAACACAAGATTTTGGGAATACATGGGCTTGTTTGTTTTTATCTTCTGTAGGATATAGAGAACGAATTGATGGTCCAGGTTGGTATGAAGCATGAGATAGAACTTGCCATGAAGTTATTGGAGAAAGATATACATGAGAAGCAAGACACTCTTATAAATCTGCGGCTTCAGCTGGAGGAAGTCAAAGTGATCAATACAGAAATGTATCAGAAACTGCAGGTAGTTCATTATTTATATCTTGAAACCAAAATATACAAGTGTAATGTTTGGGATATTTGGGAGTTTGATCCCTTCCACCCCCGTAGTTTTCACGGTCAGCTATTGGCAGTTACCCAAAGCATCTTCTCTATCTGGGGTGACAGTGCATTTAAGCTATCGAAGGACTGTCTTTGGGGAGTTACGGAATGGACTTGGTTTGTATGGTATGCTAGGCCATGCTTGCTTAGCATCAGCCATCAATAAATCCTATATTAATAATTTCTTGCAGAAATGTCTCTGCAGCCAGTGTCCTAGACCAGGGGTAGGCAACCTTGGCTCTTTTATGACTCGTGGACTTCAACTCCCAGAATTCCTGAGCCAGCCATGCTGAGGGGAAAGGGAGAGGTTTCCAAGCTGAGCCATGCTGCTCAGGAATTCTGGGAGTTGAAGTCCACGAGTCATAAAAGAGCCAAGGTTGCCTACCCCTGTCTTATTTAGTAGTGGCCGGCCAGCTAACAATAGAGTCCTTTGCTAATTGAACAAAACACAAGGGCTCTATGGCTGATCAGCTTCTGCATGCAGGGCTAGGGACGCAAATCATTTCTGAAATGCTTTAGCTTCCTTAAAATATTCCCTGTGTAGTTGGAGCAGGAAAAGGAAAAACAAATCCAGGAGCATCAAAAAATGAGGTTGCAGAAGCTAGCCAGACTGCATTTCCCTCTGTTACTTCAGGTTCAGACACTCTGTCAGACCAAAGTAAACTAACCAAAACTAGGCCACAACTACAGACCCTGTTTTAAGATATACCCAGTTTGAATGGTGGACTGGGTTCAAAGAACAAAGTCAGTCTCCACAAAGTTGAAGAGAAGCCTTATTCCTAACCCTACCACCATTCCATATTGATGGGACCTAAAAGGGAAGGTAGGCCTTTAAAGCAGACGTGAGGACTGATAGCAAAATGGCCGCCCTAGTACATGTATGTGCAGACAGCTGGAGATAGTTTTCCAGTAGCTACGGGGGCCTTGTGACTGCTCTAATGCTTTGAATAGAGGTGCTTGATAATTATCATATTGTAATAGAATAATCTCTTAATAATAGTTTTCAGAGGAAGCCATGAAAGAAAAGAATGAAATAATTGGTCGCCTGGAGAATAAAACTAGTGAGATTACCGCAACTATGAAGCATCTGGAACAAAGGTACAACATCACAGTCTTTTTAGTTTTTTTCCTTACTCATTTTCTCTTGCCCATGTTCAAGGGTAGGCAACCTCAGCTCTTTTATGACTCCTGGACTTCAACTCCCAGAATTCCTGAGTCAGCATAGCTGACTCAGGAATTCTGGGAGTTGGAGTCCATGAGTCATAAAAGAGCTGAGGTTGCCTACCCCTGCCCACGTTAGGTGCAAACTTTGGCAAACGTTAATTATATTTTTATATAATCACCACTGTTTTTCACGGTGCTCAGTTTAACACCCAGATTCCTAATCCACAGTTTGAGATCAGTGTTTTTTAAAAACCACGATCTCTTATTTCATATGCATTGACAAGCTGAGCTTCTGCAAAATAAAAATAAAAATAAACATTTCAAAAGTCTGTCCTGCTAACTTATGATGGTGATGGGAGGAAAGTAGGAACTGGGTTTGTTCCAACTTTGCATTACAACATGCTAGTTTGGCAGGTTATAGACCCAGTTACCTGCATATTGTGCCAAAAAAAAAAAAAGACATAATTTTTCACATTTAACTTCCTCTTAACTTTAAATACCTGTTCGTGCCATCATTCAAACTGATCTGCTTTCACACACTTCTGTGAACACAAAAGATGCCTCCCTGAGTTGGGAGAATCCAATTTTCCTTTCTGCTCTAAATCACATTATAGCCCATTTAGGAGATTGCAGTTAGCTATTCCGAAACTTTCCTCTCTTTTGAATTTTGCAGATTGTTAATAATTCTTCCAAGCTCCCTTTGACCTAAATATATGCTATGCTGGGGGCAGGGGATAAGACTTGGATTTTCTTTTAAATGCAGCTGTAGACTGATGCATTGAAGGATGAGTTGAAAGGTAGAAAAGCCACAGGGAATGTTTTCAGTCCAATCCAGGGGCTCTGCCCCCTTCCCCCCATTTTTTGCCAGATGTGACCTGCTCAGTTCCCTCCAATACCAGCAGCCATAAGGCCATCAGAAAAAGCTGGGAGGGTCAGCTGGCAGATGACCTGCTACATTTTGAGATTGGCTGATTGCAATAGAGTTCAAATTTTCAAAGAATTGTTTGGTTAACTGGCTTCCTCATATTATTATCTGTGCAGCAAGTTGCATGCAAAATGGAGTAGTTTCAGAAGCAAGTTATATTTTTGTTGATACTAATTCCATGAAAAGAGATTAAATATAAGGCAAGATGTACATAAGAGCTTAAGTGCTTGTAAAATAACCCTAGAGTTTATGATTTAGTCCAGGGGTCTTCAAACTTGGCCCTTTTATGACTCATGGACTTCAACTCCCAGAATTCCTCAGCCAGGCACGCTGGCTGAGGAATTCTGAGAGTTGAAGTCCACAAGTCATAAAAGGGCCAAGTTTGAAGACCCCTGATCTAGACATTAAAGAGAGAATTGGTACCATGGCAGTATTCTGAGGGAGCGTTACCCTTTGTTTCTGACTTGGTTTCGCTTGTTAGCAGAAATTTCTAGTCGAGAACTCATGATGTTTCTAGCCATGGTTGGTTTAGCCTCAGATCTAAGCCAATCGTATTTCTCCCATAAGAAGCCAAGAGCAAATTTAGGCTTATGGTGAAATAAATCAGCTATCCTGGTTGGAGGTATTCGCAGGTTTGTGTGTCAAAAAATTATCAGCCTTGATCAATACCCTTACACCAGGGGTGTCCAACTCCCAAAATTCCCCAGAAAGCCATGAAGTTGAAGTCCACAAGTCTCAAAGTTGCCTAGGTTGGACACCCCCGCCCTACACCTTTTTCATTGTATTGCACAGAAAAAGGAATAGGACTTTGATTACAAATTTTTGACCAACACATCCTTGTGGACACTCGTGTTTTGATTCAAGTGTAATGCTCACATTTCTGAAAGAAGCAAAGTGAGGAGGGTTAGAACAGGGTACACAAAAATCCTTGCTCCTTTTGTTTCTCAATTCCTGGCCTGTGAATTTGCAGTTGTTGCACCACAATCCCAGAAGTATGTTAAAAAGTGGTTGATTTTCTAAATGCTTAAAAATGTAAACATCCATAGTCTCATCGTTGTTTTCTTTTTCAATCCAGTCTATTGAACAAAAACATTATGTATTAAAACGTCAGTAAGCATGAATATTCTTTTATTGACATCGTTTTTCCTCTTTCTTTTTCTTTTCTCCTTTATCCCACATTTTTGGATGTTTTTTATTGCCTTTGTCTTTGATTTTTATCCATTGCACATCTGAAGTGACAAAGAATTGTTAACGCAGACTAGGACTATTGCTATGACTTTGGTGAAATGTTCCAGTCGCGAAGGGCAGCCCCAGTACAAGCTGGTTAAAGATATATCATTTTGAAGCCATGGTTCTTGCAAAACAATTTGTAATGGAGCAAACAGCAGCGCTTACACAAGGGAAAATGAGCTTTGAATGATGACGCTTGGATTTGAGTCTCTTGTATTTGGCTTACTTGGGATGTCAGTGTAGTATTCTCATTGGACCGTGTTTCTGACACTGATTTCCTGCTTTGTTTTTCCGAAATGAAGTGACAATAGAAATCTTAATTTAGCAGTTTCCAGTTGGAATTGATCTTTTCAAAATCATAGTGTTATTACCTAGCAAATGATAGAGACTGACTTCAAGTTCAGCTAGCATTATTTTTATGACCGTGAAGCTGGTAGGGAGAAATGGTTCAGAAAAGATCTTAACAGATTGTAATTCAACCTCTGTTTACCTAGATCTTTTCTTGTCTTTTGGTAAGGACAAGAGCTAAAACATGGTCTTCCGGATTATCTTTAAATATATTAAATCTTTGCACAACGTTGTCTTTAAGAAATGTAGATGTGCACCACAGTTGTGCTGGGAGAATTATATTTTGCTTTAAAAAAAATGAAATAAATTGGAAATCCACCATGCTTTGAACCGAAGGAGTAGTGAAATGTAAATTAATTGGTGCACATTGGTGAAGCATAAAAGCTCTTTTAGTGGGACATACGTGTGCGTCTACTTTGTGGTGCAGAAGAAGTGAGAGGGACTGATGGAAACACTTGTTGTTTATAGTTGATAGCATTTTATCATGAAATGGAAATTTTTCCTCTGTGCTCGGACATCTGCCTTGGGTAGAAAGGCTTTTTACCGTTAATTTTTGGGGAATGGGCTTTCTCCCACGCCCCTACCTTTAAAGCTGAGGGGGGATCATCCTTACAGATGAGGGAGCTTTAGGAACATATTAGCATTAGAGCAGGAGTGTTGGGGGTCAGAAAAGCCAAGATGGCAGCCACAGCCAGAAGCCCTCCCCTTTTTACACAGAATGCATGGGATGGGGGCGGGACATTGATGACACAGCGGCTGCTGGCATTTTGAGATTTTAAGTACCCCTTCCCCCTCCTTTGTAACAGACATCCTTCCATTAGAACTCAAGATAAATCACCTTTCAACCTTCTTTAATGAAGGTTTACTGGATGATTTTTACAAATTTCTCTGGGGATAGGCAGTGTTTTCAAGAGCAAGGTTTCCCCCCGAAGTGAGGCTAGTCCAGGGGTTGGCAACCTCGGCTCTTTTATGACTCATGGACTTCAACTCCCAGAATTCCACGAGTCATAAAAGAGCCGAGGTTGCCTACCCCTGGGCTAGTCCATGCCTGAAAAAGCCCAGTGCACAGAGTCGCTTCACACTTCGATTGTCCTTGGAATGTAGACGATCCACGGGAAGATGGGGAGATTATCCGTTTCCCTTTTCTTTAGAAAGAAATTTTGGAGCAAGCTGTGTATGAGATCGGAAGAGAAGTGACAGAAAAAGTCTAGGAGGCTTGCTCTACCAGGCAGTATATATCTGTTTTCTTATCCACTCTCAAACCTGGGTGGGAATCCAACTATTTACATAATACCATGTATATTATATTAGACCAATATTAATGACCACAGGACTGATGCCACACAGGGCACATTAGGCCAGGGTTTCTCATGCTTGGCAACTTGAAGATGTGTGGACTTCAGCTCCCAGAATTCCCCTGCAAAGAATTGTGGCGGAGGAATTCTGGGAATTGAAGTCCAGTCATCTTCAACTTGTCAAGGTTGAGAAACATTGTATTAGAGTCAGTGACTTTCCTTGGCATGTGTTGAGCCTGAAATATACTTTTATTGTCTGCCCTAAGTTCAATCATCCAGTGTTCTGTATCAGTAGATGAAAGTCAAAAAAGTCAAAATGGTGGCTGCGACCACACGGTCAGGGCCACCATTATGGTTCTTTTCATTGCCCCTGAGGATGTCCCTTTTCCTTTCTTTCTTCTTTTGTGAAGCCAGTTGACCGGGCTATTTGAAGTTTGGTTTTTCCTTTTCAAAAAAAGAAATCATACCTATAAAAGAGCTTAAATGCTCAGATAGCACTCTGTATGTATAAAACCTAAAATATGTATCACTCTGCTATGATGGCTCCTGTTTATCATGGATCCCAAATAAAAAAAATGGAGAAATTTATGGATGTTTTGTGGTGATAGTGAGATGAATACTTTGAATTTGTAGGCATTGTCTGGGACTCTCATTTGAGTTAGTGAGTTTATCCCCAAACTTTGTTTTCATTTAGAAATGTTCTATTTCCCCATTTTTTTCCTTTTATTTGTCTTCATCCTTTACATCCAAATTCTAGCTTCAGTTTTACCCAAAGTTGATTTGAATTACACCAGATTGCAGCAAGCAGAGAAGGCTCACATGGAAGCAGACAGTGAGGACAAGAAAGTTAAACAAGATTATATGAATAAATCTGAAACTCTTCAGAAAGAAATTGCCCAAAAGGAAAACCAAGTGTAAGTAACCTTGATTTTGGGGAAACTGGATTATTTTTAATATTTTATTATAAACATTTTAATATTTATATGTCAGCGTATATGTTTAATATATCAACCATTTAGAACAGACATGTCAAACACAAGGCCTGGTGGCCGGATGCAGCCCGCGAAGTGGTTTCATGTGGCCCGCGAAGCCATCCTGGAAACAGTGAGGGAACGGCCCCTGCTGCCTTGGCCCTGGCCCAGGCCAGCCGGGAGCAAAAATGTACAATTTTGTGGTGGCCATCTTGGCACTTGCCCCGGTGGACCATGCCTTGGCACTTGCCCCGGTCCCACCTCCTTCTGCCAGAGACCCTCAGATCTGTCCCACTCCTGCCCAGGCCCCCATAGGCACCCTTGACGTGAATGATGTGAAACTGGCCACACCCGCCCAGTAGGCCACACCCACTCCATCCACGCCCACCCAGTAGGCTGCACCCACTCTGGCCACACCCACCGCCCCCCCAGGGCAATTGCAATGCTGATGTGGCCCTCAGTGAAATTAAGTTTGACACCCCCCATTTAGAACAATAATATTCTGTCCTTGGTGTACAGTATTTTTCTTTACAGAAATTTGTATAGACTTAAGATATTATTTCGTGGAAATTATTTAGGTTCAGGATTAGGAACAGGAAACGGTGACTTCTAGTCTTCCCTTAGAATATTTCTAGGTTGGCCTCTCTCCTTCAGCCCAACCCACCCCTCAGGGCTGTTGCTGGAAAAATTGGAAGCGGAAACATTACACCCTCTGTCTTGAATTAAACAAAATAAAGATGAAGTACCCACTCAAAGAAATAAATACATCCATCCATCCATTTCAACCATTGCCTTTTAACTTTTTTTCTTTCTCAAATGAATTTCCCAAGAAACACCGTGACTTTCACTCCTCAGGGTGTTATTTATTTATTTTTAATCCCTCCTTTATTACTTTGTAAGTAACTCGGGGCAGTGGACCTACCCAATAATCCGTCCTCCTCCTATTTTCCCCAATCAATAACCTGTGAAGGGAGTTAAACAGAGAGAGTGAGTGGCCCAAAGCCACCTGGCTGGCTTTCATATCTGAGGCGCGACTAGAAGTTACTATCTCTTCGTTTCTAGGCCAGCACCTTCGTCACTACACTAGACTGGCTCTCCTATAGTACATTGATATTATATCTTGAGTTAAACAGTCATAGAATGTTTATCAGGGATAGTCAACCTTGGCTCTTTTATGACTCGTGGACTTTAATTCCCAGAATTCCTGAGCCAGCTTAGTTGGCTCAGGAATTCTGGGAGTTGAAGTCCACGAGTCATAAAAGAGCCAAAGTTGACTACCCCTGGTTTAAATGGTGAAGTCAAAAGGGACTTTGGGGGGGGTTGTCTTCTAGTTCAACCCCTACTCAGAGCAGGCCATCCCAGGTAAATTGTTGCCCAGCCTTGGTTTGAAAACCTCTGGGGATAGAGCACCATGACTCCAGGAATCACAATGTCCCACCGTTTCATAACTGTCGTGGCCAAGAAAGCCCTCCTTATTTCAAGTTTGGGCCTTCCTCTATAAAGCTAACACTCAGTCGTTCCTGTCCTACCATTTGGGCATTATCTTCTATATAAATAAAAATGTAAATGTTCGTTTGTTCAAAATCTTAAATCTCCGAAAGTTCTTCACCGATTGCTTTGAAGTTTTGACACAACATTGCATTCGAATACGCGCATGTTTTTATATACCTACTATTATATAGATGTCACACCTGTGACAGGTGTGTCACACGTGTGACAGGGGTGCCACCGCACGTACTGCAGTTGAAAATCGGCATGCCAATTATCATGTTGCGAAATATGAACCAGCCAAAGCTTTGCAACAGCACGCGGCTTGCAGTAAAAAAATTAATGAGCAACATCGTAGAAGCAACAATCTTGACAGGACCTTTCAAAGGTGAAGATGTCCTCATTCCTCGCATTCCTATGATTCCAACGGATATGCCATTTCAATTTAAGAGATTGCAATTCCCAATTTGATTGGCGTTTGCAATCACCATCAACAAAGCTCAGGGCCAATCTTTAGAATTGTGCGGTTTAGATCTAGACATGGATTGCTTCTCACATGGACAATTATATGTTGCGTGTTCTAGAGTCGGCAAACCAGACAATCTCTATATCTGCACAGACAATGGAACAACAAAAAATATTGTATACCCACAAGCATTGTGAAATTAAACATATTTCAAACGTGCGCTTTCTCTTTTCTTTCTTTTCCATTTAATCAGACTGAGCCACAGCAACGCGTGGCTGGGTACAGCTAGTAGAGAATAAATCTACAGCTTCTTTCCTGTAGTAGCCCGAGAAGCATGGGAAGAGGGCTGTCACGTCTCAGCCAGACCCATGCCCTGATCCTGCCTAGTCAAATAGTCTGGGAAAGGTGTCAAGAGTAGAGACTGGGCAGCTGCTGGGGCTCATTCAAAGCTTTATGCACGAGCCAGGAACATCAGTGCCATAGTGTAAATTTTGAAGCTCCTTTGAGTTTCCTATCAGGCAGGGAAGGCTTCTGTGTAAAAATAAAATAAAAAACAAATAGGGAAAGTCTTCCACATTTCTTGAGCTCCTGAAATTCATTTAAGCTTTTGGGGTCCTTTTCTTGATAGCCATAACCAGTTTTTATTCAACAAGAGAGTTTTAAGAAGAAACTATATGACCTGATTAAAAACTATGGATGGGTGTGGGGTTTTTTTGTTTTTTTTTGTAAATGCAGATAACTCCAAGCCACAAATACAAATTTCAAGATTAAGCTGGAGAGTGTGAGATTCTTTCAGCTTAGCTAAGCTGTGATCCTGGCAAGGCCAGCCAGTCTGGGGAATAAAGAGGAGGGGGATGGGGAGGGAAAGGGGGAGGAGAAGAAGATCTGAACATTTAGGAAAGATTTTTTTAAGGCCAAGCTAGACAATACGTAAAATGCAATTATGTGATTGCACATTTCACGTTCAATCTAGTTTTACAATTTTATAACATGCAGCTTCCTTTTTATGGGTTTATTTTGAAGTGATGTGATTGTACAAGGATTGTTCTAGCTGGTTTTATTTGGCCTTTATTTCTCTCATTGTTTCTACCCAGACAATAAATTTAAATAAATTGATTAAGAATAAAATTAGAAAACATGTAGAAAAAGAGCTTCAGAGACGTTCCTTTAGGACAGGGGTAGGCAACCTTGGCTCTTTTATGACTCATGGACTTCAACTCCCAGAATTCCTGAGCCAGCATGGCTCAGCTTGGAAACCTCTCCCTTTCCCCTCAGCACAGCTGGCTCAGGAATTCTGGGAGTTGAAGTCCACGAGTCATAAAAGAGCCAAGGTTGCCTACCCCTGCTTTAGGATCTCTCAGAAAAAGTAGTCCTTACAAGAGGAGGAAAAAAGAAAGTGGACACTTTCCTCCTTTTTTCAAAAAGTGTTAATTTTCTGTAATTTATTTTTGAAAAAGTCTTATTGAGCATATCAAGCACCTATATTAGATTGATGCTATGATTTAAATGAGGTGAAATATTTATCACGTAGTTTATGGCACTGATTAATCTAAAAGATTCCATAAATGAAAATGAAGCTGATGCTTTGAAAACATTCTTCAGCTTGAATGAATTTTTTTAAATATTCTATATTTTTAGGTGTCAGCTGGAGACGGATTTGAAAATAGAAAGAGAATGGAGACAAACCATGGAGGAGGACCTTAAAAAGGAAAAAGAAACTACATGTTTTCTCCAAACAGAGACTCAGCAAATCATTACGCTTAAAAAAGTAATTTTTCAAAACCTGAATCCCGATTAAAAACAGTAGAGCAGACATGTCAAACGCAAGGCTCGGGGGCCGGATGCGGCCCGCGAAGTGGTTTCATGTGGCCCGCGAAACCATCCTGGAAACAGTGAGGGAACGGCCCCCTCTGCCTTGGCCCTGGCCCAGGCCAACCGGCCGGGAGCCAATGTACAATTTTGTGGTGGCCATCTATGCTGAAACGCATTCAGTCTTAGCTCCATAAGCCCCCCCCCCACATGGCCTGAGAGGAACAGTGAGGCTCCTCCACTGGACCACGCCTTGGCGCTTGCTCCGGTCCCACCCATTTCTGCCAGAGACCCCCACTCCTGCCCAGGCCCCCTTAGGCACTCTTGACATGAACGATGTAGAGCTGGCCACACCCACTCCATCCCCACCCAGTAGGCCGCACCCACCCTGGCCACACCCATCCGGCCCCCTGAGGGCAACCGCAATGCCGATGCAGCCCTCAATGAAATTAAGTTTGACACCCCTCCCAGTAGAGGGACAGGGTGGAGCAGAAAATGCTCTTGCACACTTTGAGGTGGATGTGATGGGATCTGGGTGAAGGGCCATGAGGCTTCCATATAAGCAGGTGGGCTGTGGGAGACTTCCTGGAAGTCAGGTGAGTGGCAGCTGGCAGAAGAGCTTTTTTGCCTGAAAACTTCCCATTGATAGAAGCTGCAGACGTGGAAAACTGGAAAATATGGAAAACTGGGTCTTTGCGGTGGCAAGCAAAGATGTTATTTCCAACCACTTATATACATGGGTGGAGGTGGGGGGAAAAGAGGGGAATCATGATCAGGACCATGGTCCTGGTAGGTATCTCCAAAGATATGTTGAAAATGCCTAATATTCACTAAATGGTCATTTAGAAGGTGAGCTGTTAAATTAGGAGACCCTCTAGTTTTAGGTATTTTACAGAATTAATCTGGGATTCGTAATTTTCATGTATTGGCATCATGCAGGGGGCCATTAAACACAAAGATGGCTGCAACTGCATGATCGAAGTCTGGTAATGAGAGCCATATTGACTTTTTTTTTTGACAGTCCCTGCATATAATCTGTTTTTTGTCAATTACCTTTGGGCTGTGGTTCACAGACGTTCTGAGTTTGCTCCCACAAGGAAGCTCTCAGTTGGGCATTCCTGGAAGTTCTTATTTTACTGCTGTATCCATCTCTAAAAATTCTCATGTTCTATTCCTCACATTAATTAGCTTGAGCAGAGTTGTCATCATTTTATCCTTCCTCCTTATTTTTTAATTTTCTTCCATTTGTCTTTTGCTCCACCCATCTTGCTTTTTATCTGCTATTGACTAAGAATGCAGCATTTCTCCAATGTTGTTAATGCTTTTCCTTGACTCAGATGATTAGATCAGCACAAGTGGCTCTCTGAAGAGGCCTGTACATACAAGGAACATGTGTATGTGAAAAGCATGGTGGGAGATTGGTCTTACTCAGATGTATTTTATGTTTAGCTGTCCACAATGCAAAGTTCTGTTGAGTTACATGGAGGTTGTGGTATCTATCCATCCATCCATCCATCCATCCATCCATCTATGCCTCCCTCCCTCCCTCATCTCAGCATTTCATAAGTCAGAATCATTCTGTCTTGGAATGAAGAGAAACCACTGTTGTTTTTTTTCTCCTGGATTTGAAGTTGCAGGGCACTGGCTGAAGATAAGATATTGTTTCACATCACTCCCCTAGAAACAGTCATGCCTCAGTTCAGATGCTTTTCCTATTTTCATCTATCCCAATGCTTTTCAACCTCGGCAAAATTAAGATATGTGGACTTCAGTTCCCAGAATTCTGTAGTCACCATGCTGGCTGGGGAACTCTGGGAGTTGAAGTCCACACATCTTAAACTTGTCAAGGTTGAAAAACATGATCTATCCTATTCTGACATAAAATGAACCCTAACTCCTTCACTGCCTCTGAATAATAATTTGTGGGTATCAATATGCTTTCCCCTTCTCTTTCATTGAGCACCTATTTGAACCAAAGAAATGTCTGATGTACATTCCTCAGTGTCAACTATTGTCATGCTTTGTGTATCAATTAATTATGTTTGTTTCTATTTAAGGAATTCCTAAAGTTGCAGGGAAAAAACAAGCAATTGAGAAATCTTTGTCATGATCAAGAAGAAGCTCTCCAAGAACTAGCCGGCAAACTTAGCGAGTAATTTTCCTTTTTTTTTTTTTAGGGAAGGGGCATAATTATTCAGGTATCCCAATGTATAGCGGACTAATTAGGAATCATTTATAATTTAAGCATTTCATATTCTATCGAAGGGGTGGGCAACCATGGCAACTTTATGACCTGTGGATTCCCAGAATTCCTGAGCCAGCATAATTGCCTACTCGTTACATTGGCATGTATTCAGACTATTGTGTTTGTCAACAGCCAAGTCAAGCTGTATGCTTGCTAGGTATCCAGATCTTCAGAAGCTTCCATGGGCAGTAAATGTCACATATGCACCTACTTGTGTGGGAGAAGGAAGTATAAGATGTTTACCAGGTATTATTGGACCTTCAGGATGAGCCTTTAATGTACAGTTTTATATTGCCCATCTAACCCTAAGCAGAATACTAGTGTGATTTCAAGTTGCAAAGAATTCAGCCTCAGAATTTCAGAACTGAAATGAATTAGTTTATTGATACATATTATAAAGAAACAACAAAAATAGGGCCGAAGATAAAAATTACTTTGAAAACACTAAACCACCTTTGCTTAGTTTTTATTCCTACCTGCACGATAACTGGTCTACGTGGGATTTACTTCTGAACAGTCCCACAATTAAGATTGTGCTCTAAAACAGACAGTAAGATACTTTTATTTCACATCTTGATGTTACTGAGCTGTCATTTTGAATTCTTTAGGTGTCTGAATCCTAAATTACAATTTAAGTATTAAGGTGACCAGAATCTCCAGCAGTTTGTCATCACAAAAACGAACAAGTACTTACTTAAATAACACAAGGGGTAAAGAAATAAATTCATAAAATATTATAGGAATAACGAATATACAAATTCTGAAAGCAAAGCCAGGTCTCTCATTTCCCTTCAGATCAAACTACCAATGAATTAGAATCATTTAAAGGAATGCTAGGTTTCGGGATACACATTGTAAGTGACATTGGATAAAAGGAAAGATTATGTGTGGTAACCATGTTAGGTGTTATGGTCTCAAGAGAAATACATCGCTTTCAAAATCCAGAATTTCTTTGTAAGATTTCCCATGAAAAGAAAAACAAGTTTCTTCCCTGCCCTCCCCTCCCCAATATTCTGAGCTTTTTTTTATTGATCAGAGGAAGAGTCAACTGTTTTAGTCGCCATTTTCATATAGCCAGTTTTCTAATTAGGAAATGGTGTTTAACTATTGTCATTTTTCATTTGGATTGTCAGCAGGCAGCATCCAAACTTCATGTCTAAAACAGCAATTGTTGCTCGGGGCTGCTAGTTTCTTGCACTATATTCCTGAGTTGCTAAGAATGACGTTTTCAGTTTGTTAATAGGAACTGTCCTCATCATAGTTTTTCTGTTTGACACCATCCACAGGCTCAGGATCTTTTTGTCTCTTCAAACATTAGTGTGACACTTCCTCCCAGCAGCATTTCCATTGCCACGAGTATTGTAAACATCCAAGGGTTTAAATGTTGGGGTATATATAACTACCCTTTTATTTTCAATATTTGAAGGCTGCCTCTGACGGACCTGAGAGAGTTTAATATAAATAGAATCATACAAATAAATCGGAGTCTCACAGTGAAGAAATCTATCCAGAAATAAGGAAGGCCTTCTTAAAGATATGATTGTGGTTAGCTATGAAAATGTCTCTTTCTGGGCTATATGAAAGAAAGTATTCCAAAGTGTCTTTATCAATACCCGAAAAGGCTCATCTTCTCCTTATAAAGTGCTCAGTTCACACCAGTTTAGCTTGCAAATTGTGATCAGGGTGGAACTCACAGGGGATAAAACCTCCATAGTAACAAACAAGTTAGTTAAACTCCAGAATTTTTGTGAATTTATTATCTGCAGGTACACACTGAGTAGGAAAAAGGGCGAGCTTCTGCACCTTTTAATTTCAGACTGGAATCTCCAAAAGTACTGATTTATGTGCTCCTTATTTATTGCCCATAATTTCTAAACCACGTCTTCTCTTTAGATCAAAGCTTAAAATAGAAGACATAAAAGAAGCAAACAAAACACTTCAGGTTAGTAATATTTGAGGTGGTAACCGGCATCCCAAGTTGGTTCGTTCATTAATTTCAAATATTAGTTTTTCTGCCTTAAGCTCACAGCTTCCTTTGTAAATAGCAGCATAAACTGTTATGTCTATTGTTACTGTGCATTTGGGTTCTATTCCAGGGTGTACAAAATATTTTCAATTTGAGATACGTTGGTCTGATGTTACCAGAAATGTTCCTATGCTGCTCCAGAATCATTAGGAGGTTTACACTGGTGTTTCAATTATTTGTAGAATATCTTAACTTTCTGTTAAGATGGGAACGCCCATTTCAAATGTTAAATGTTTTTATATACCTTTATTCAGTTCCTAGCTTTGTTTTTAAATTTTTTTAAAATGCAAATTCACTATATTTCAGATGAGGATGAACAAATTCACACATTAACTTTGCAGTTCCCTTTCTCTGAACTTAAACTCTTGTTTTAAGAGTACAATTTCTACTGAAAGATTTTTGATCTGTTTAGGAAAGACTTACTCTGCGAGTGTTGCCCTTTGGTAAATCCTGAATGGCATGTAACAAAATGATAGTTTTGCATTTGCAGTTGTTCGGTTCAGATAACATCTTTTCTCCTCACCAGGGCCTGGTCTGGTTGAAGGACAAAGAAGCTACTCACTGCAAATTATGTGAAAAAGAATTTTCTCTTTCCAAGAGGAAGGTGAGTTTATATTAAAAGTTGTCTTTCATTAATTAAAACTGATAAAAAGCTGGAAGTATATCAAGTGCCAGAGATGTACTGCTCATTCTCCTAGTGGACAATCACCTAAATATGACCCAGCCGTGTGCTGCAGCTGCCAAAAAGGCCAACACAGTGCTGGGCTGCATTAACAGAGGGATAGAATCAAGATCACGTGAAGTATTAATACTTTACAATGCCTTGGTAAGGCCACACTTGGAATACTGCATCCAGTTTTGGTTACCACGATGTAAAAAAGATGCTGAGACTCTAGAAAGAGTACAGAGAAGAGCAACAAAGATGATCAGGGGACTGGAGGCTAAAGTATATAAGGAACGGCTGCTGGAATTGGGTATGTCTAGTTTAATGAAGAGAAGGACGAGGGGGGACATGATAGCACTGTTCCAATATCTCAGGGGCTGCCCCAAAGAAGAGGGATTCAAGCTATTTTCCTGCCTGAAAGCAGGACAAGAAGCAGTGGGTGGAAACTCATCAAGGAGAGAAGTAACCTAGAACTAAGGAGAAACTTCCTAACAGAACAATTAACCAGTGGAACAACCTGCCTCCAGAAGAGGTAAATGCTCCAACACTAGAGGTTTTTAAGAAGAGACTGGACAGCCATTTGTCCGAAATGGTATATGGTTTCCTGCCTGAGCAAGGGGTTGGACTAGATGACCTGCAAGATCCCTTCCAACTTTACTATTACTTATGTGCAGTAAATTTTATCAATTTATGAATTAAAAACATATTTTCACTCACTAGATGGACATTTTCACCAGCCATTTGGCTTTATCAGTTTTCTCTGAAGATATGCTATAGAAATTTTAAGGGAGCTGTTTTACCAGCTCTGTAAGCAGCAGTTAATAAATTGAGAGAATTCCTGTAATGGTTTTCCAAATAAAATATCTTCGAGGGGTTGGTACAGCACGTTTTATTTTTACCCACAAAAATAGCTTATCTAGGTTGGTAGACCTAAGTTATCATATGTTATTTACTGCTTAGCACACAAATTATATTGGCATAAAAATCTTTTTTTTTTTTTGGGATTTAGCATCATTGTAGAAACTGTGGTGAAATTTTCTGCAATGCCTGCTCTGATAACGAGTTGCCTTTGCCGTCTTCACCAAAGCCTGTTCGTGTCTGCGACTCCTGTCACGCGCTACTCATACAGAGGTGTTCTTCCAATATGCCCTGAGTCTTCTGCAGATGTTACAAGACGTTCACTAGGAGGACGAGTGCTGTTGTGTTGGCTGCTTATATATATTACTGCAATTCCGGCTTAACGCCCTTAATGTCAAAATTGTGCCATTGTTCTTGCAATACCAGAATCAGTCTCGTTTTGTACAGTGGCTCTGAGGCAATGACTGAAATGCATCTGCTTTGCAGTTCTGCTTCTGCTCTTTTATGTTGCCAGATGTGCTATTCTAGTATGTGGGGCAGGACTGACCTTGTAATGAAAGCTTTACGCTGAGAACAGGGAAGCCAAGGAACGGAAATTGGAGCTGGATAATGTTACACGTCAACTGCACGATTTGTGTAGTTTGGCGTCCTCCCTGACACTTCCACTGAAAAAGCATTGTTGCGTACAGGTGGGCAAAGTTGAATTAGGCAAATTATAAACAAGTATATATACTTGTTCGGGGGGCAGAACTCAAGTTAATTTTCTTGGATGTTTCTACACAACCCTTTCAAGTTGGCCTCTGATTCCAGCTTCTGGGCAACAGTTTGTGCAGGTTTATATTGAATCTAGTAGATGGGGAGTTGGAGGATCTAATTTAGCAAGATGATGGGTTTGCTTCTCATGGATGGACAGATTCATGTTCAGGGTCCATCTAGAATAGGCAGCTCAGGGCTGAAAGATTTCCATTCAGAGGTTCAGATGAGAAAGGTTAGGGAGAAAGGTATCTTACAGTCTTAAACCCTCTGGAATCAAAATCCATGATTAACTTCCCCAATTGGTTAACATGCAGCACTTACACTAGTTGCAAAATAATCCTTTATATATCAAGGAAGGGTAGCAGGCACACTTGAGGGATGTCTCTTTCCTATACAGTGGTTGTCAGACAAGTGATGCCACATAAAAAGATTGCCAGAGTAGTAACTTTAGATGAGTTTTCCATATATTGTACAAGATTGGTTGGGGTAGACTTGCGAAAAGAATGTATCTGAAAAATTGTCTTTAGAGACAAGCCTAGCTGGACTTTTTATATAAATAGAGCTTTTATATATACGCACAAACTATTTGCACTTCTTTTTTAATGTAAACTTAAGTTATTCGAAATGATCTATAAGGAATATAAATTACAAACTTAGCAGATTGCCAAATGAATTGTTAACCGAACAGGCCAGGATGGTGTTGCTTTTATTTGTTCTGTAGGAAAGTGAGATTCCTTATTTAAGTCATTTTTTTTTTTGGGAAAACCACTGTATCTAACTAACAATTTTACTTGAAAAGTAGAGGATGTAATAAAAAGAAATGGTAGTCTTGTACTGGTGGGTCATTTTTAATAGATGTTGAAAACAGTTTTTAATGTGAAAGCATTACCTATTCAAAAGTTACAATGCATTTTTTCCCATTGGATTGATCTAAGAACCAACCACTCCTTTTTGAATCTTCTTTTTGATTCCTCTTCTACAACCCGGTGCCTTCCAGATTTATTAAAAAAAAAAAAGATGGAGTTGCAATATAAGATCAGTACAAGATCCATGAACGGCAGATATAACTACTGAGGTCAATAGAATTTGGTGCAGTGATGTGCTGTTCTGTAATTTTAATTAGCGTTCAGTATTTAAGGGATACGAACTAAAACAGATTTGAGATAGTACAAGAAATTACTGGGGAACTCTGTCTAACACAGTGTTTCTCAACCTTGACAACTTTAAGGCATGTGGACTTCAACTCCCAGAATTCCACAGCCAGCATTGCTGGCTGTGGAATTCTGGGAGTTGAAGTCCACATGCCTTAAAATTGTCAAGGTTGAGAAACACTGGTCTAACAGCTGTTGGCAGTAGAATCAGGCAACCACATGAATTGGTGAGTTCTCATTTATGAGAGGCTGGATGCTTAGTACTGGTTGAGGAATTCTGGGAGTTGAAGGCCACGCGTCCCAGTTGCTGAGGCCAAGAAACTCTACTGGATCATTCAGTGAGCAGGACTCGTTTCCAACTTGATAATTCTGAAATTCTTGTATCAAAATGTCAAAGTAAGCCTTAACCGTACAACCGATTTTCAATTACAAGCTCATGAGTTATTAAGTAATCTTTAACACATGATCGATAAAAGATCCCCCCCCCTCCAAAAAAAATCCTGTATCAGCTCTGAGATGGTTGAATTTTATTGCTTAATCAGCAGGGCTGTGCAGTGGTTCAGATTCAATCCCTAAATTGTGCTTTGGACGTGACACCTGTCACTAACAGTTCTTTAAGTATATTCTCTCATGGGCTGGCAAGGAAGGTGCAATCCTGAGAAAAGACACATACATACTTAATAATTGCAGTCAGGCTCTGAAATATTTGGGGAGCTAAATCCCAAACGAGCAATTTTATTGGCTGTGAAATAAGCCCCCTTCAATTTCAAGTGGCAAATTTGGTCCCAAACTCAAAACTATCCAGCCTTTAAAGAAACATGAGCTTGGAATCTTAATTTCATGTGATTATCCATTTCTTATGTACAAATATTTTCTAAGAACAAGCTATTAATTTCTGTGGTGGAAATATGCCAAGATTTTAAATTGACATATGCATATTTGGTAATATTTTGGAAGATATATATATATATATATATATATGGTTGCAAATAACATAAAAGACAGACTAATGACTCCTGGGAATATCCATGGTACAAAATAAAAATGCGAACACCAGGAGAATATAAGACAGTTAAAAGTTTAGTAAAAACCTTAAAAACTTTTAAAAGCATACAATCATAGGGGCCAAGCTTTCGTCGGATCCTTCCGACATCCTCAGGGCACAAAGTCAATCAATGGGAAAAGCAGTTATAAATAAACCGACGCCTGCATCCCCTATGATTGTATGCTTTTAAAAGTTTTTAAGGTTTTTACTAAACTTTTAATTGTCTTATATTCTCCTGGTGTTCGCATTTTTATTTTGTACCATATATATATATATATATTTTAAAAAGCACAGCTTCAGAGTTGACTACTATGGATTCTCAATTCAATATCTGAAAATCCTTGAATCCGCGAGTCCTTAACGACATCAAGCAATGCGTTCCTGGTCGTTATTTACACAACATTCTCAACTCTCCTTCACAGATAGTTGTAAACTTTCTAGGCTTCATGCCAAGTCATCAAGGTGTCTGGAAAGGAGGCATAGCAACATTTTCTTCCCTTAAAGTAGGGGTCTGCAACCTTGACAACTTTAAGACTTGTGGACTTCAGCTCCCAGAATTCCTCAGCCAGCTATGCTGGCTGAGGAATTCTGGGAGCTGAAGTCCACAAGTCTTAAAGTTGTCAAGGTTGCAGACCCCTGCCTTGAAGAATTGCTTGGAAGGTGGCATTCACTCACCATCACACATACTATTGTGCCATACATGATGCTCTGAATTAACATCACTCTTTCTTGTAATTTATTCCAATTGTATCATAGAATGTATTATACCGTCAGCTACTAAATTTTTAGAAATCTCGAAAGTAGTGTTTGGTCACAACTGCTGGAGGAAACACTGGGGAACTATATATCCAATAATTCTGATATTGTTCCAAGTCAGAAAGCGTGTTTTTGTCTTTTAGCATTTTACTTTATTATGTGTTTGGTATTTGGTATTTTACATGACATTTTGGTCAATGACCACCAATAAAATTTGATTAATTTAAAATACAAATGTTTGGAAAAAACTATTCAACTATTTTCAGCTTGCCCTGGTGAAGCTCAAAAAAAAGTCATTCACTTTGTTGTTATGCACTTGGTACACATGTTACTGCTGGTGTAATAGCAGTTGATGCACACATATTTCCATTAAATAAAAAGCAATTCTTCCTAGTAAATTTGAGAAATATTTATAACAGCCATGCTGGTCCCATGTGACCAGAAAATATACAGCACTCATGTTTACAAAAAGTAATCTCATTAAGGGACTGGTAGGTTTTGTTATGAATTATCTAATGCCACAACATAGGAAATCTTGATGTAGAAAATAACAGTCTTCCATACAGACATTTGACACTCTGAATGTGTGGGAAGAGTGCATTAATCTTAGAATGCACTCTTACTTGGAATGAAGAGTGAAACCGATGCTAGGATGAACTACATTCCACTTGCTTGAGCCAAAGAATTAACATATTGGTTATCAGAGGCTTACATAATGAAGTTCTTGCTTTAATGACCACATCATTATGAATCTGTATAATCCTGTTAATACACACTATGATCTGTACATTCTTTGTATTAATAAATGGCTTGAACAGTGTCTACCTTGGGGCACTGTTGAAAAAAAGTTTGCAGAAAACAACTGGAATGACGAGACAACGGGGATGATCAGGGACTGGGAGGAAGCCTTAGGAGATGTCAAGAGAGTATGAATTATAGGATTTTTTCTAATACTGAATGGTTCAACACTAGAATCTACTACTAAGGGAGGCTCCTTAGTAACACTCCTATTTGCTCGTATTCTAGCAAAGGTGTTTTAACCCTCCTTTTAATCCAACACTATAGAGGAAAAAAGGCGTAATTTAGTTTTTATGACAAAACTAGTGACGTTAATATTGTAAGGATGGTTTACTCTACAAGGACTACAGTACTTCTATATACTGTAGCCTCCCTGAAATTAATATTAATTTTAAAATATGAAAATTAATACTGCTAAACCACCTCCTAGGACATTTCATGGAAGACATAGTGCATTGAGTAAAGCACACTGAAATCATGGATCTCACCCTTGTTTTTTTCTATTTCATTTATTCTGTAAAACCGTTTAGGATCCTAAGATTTGCAAACAGGAAAGTGTATTTTCAGAATCAAAAATGGCTAGCCATTATGACACACAACACGCAGCTGCTGTCTGTATAAATTTTACTGAGAATAAAACTTATCTACAAATTAACATGTTATTGAATATAAATTTGTATCTTTTCTATTTTGCTATGACCCATGAAATTCTCATACTTACCTCCCTGTTGAGCATTAAGCCTTGATGCAGATATGCTCAACCAAAATGTAATCCTTATGGATCTAAATTACTTGCATAATTAATACAAACCTAAAAAAGTGTTTCTCTTATACAGAATTTTGTACAAATTAGAAAAAAATAAAAGATCTGCATTGTTTGCCCTTCAATTAGATAAATTGACACAACACATGTCCTAGAATGAAATCTATTTTGCTATCTCCCACAAAACATTTATTACATACATAGCATTACTAGCAAAAACAGGCAACAAACTTTCAGTTTATCACATTTGACAAATTATTCTGAAGAATCTGGAGGACAAGCAATTAAAACAAAAAAATCTTGAATATTAGTACCTTTTCTTCAATACACAGAAAATGCTTAAGTGGCTAAACAGTATTTCATCCAAACAATCTTACATGTTAAAAACCCAAAGCAATCTGTCAAGACTTTTAGGTGGAAGTGTTGTTGATTGCCAGATAGGCCACACAATCCTTACGTGGGTATCTTCAGCAACAGAAATGGCATCCTCAAGTCAATTGTTCTATTTTTAAGAACTGTAACAGTTCTCTATCAATGTTACCATAGTCCATTAATGCAATAGCTTTCTGCTTTTCTCCCATATCTTTTTCATATACTATTCTATTAATAACTTATCTCAAACTTTTAATTGCCAAGAAAACAAAGTGAAGATTCAAACTATGTTTTCTATCAATATATTTTAAATATGAAAATTCTGACACACACACAGCTCAGGCTACATGTGTAGCAGTTGTGCGTTAGGTCATTCCAGAAGTTTAACTCATGGCCTTCATATCCCCCACACTATTTTCAGACATTCTGCCATTATTTTCACTGAGTTAGTTTTCATTGACAAATTATTTATTAGCTAACACTTGCTTTCATTCCAAACTTCAACAAATGTAACATAAACCTGATGGGTTATTTCATTTCATAGATGTAGAATCGATAATATGATCTTCCAGTACAACTGCTTTTAATGAACCAAATTTCTTAAAACAACATCCTAGGATAACGCAGCTATCTTCAGGAGGAGCTAGTATAAAAACTATCAACATCAGTGGTTTGAATATAAAAAATTTATTTAAAGTCAGGAGTATGCAACAAATAAAACCTACAGAAAACAGATTTCCCCATCACAATCTGATGCTTACCAAATAATGGGAAAACACATTCCTTCAGTCATTATAAAGTTTTCAATACAAAAGAAATTTTAAGTTTTGTAAGAAAGCCTAGTAGACCAAGTACTGTTTCCTTCCAACACGCTTTGGAGACACAATGATACTCTTCAATACATTCCACGCCAGCCACCTCCTCCCATGTTGCCTTGCCCGTAATATCCACCACTATTTCCGCTGCCACGACCTATAAAATAACCGCAACACTTTTATTCCTGTAGTTAATAGTGTTTAAACTTTACATCCTCCTATATGAACGAAAGAAATCTTACCACCCTTAGGATGCCACTCATGCTTTCCGAGCATGGAAGCTACACTGCATTCTTAGTTCTTCATGCAATGCCAAGTACTGGTGGAGATTAAAACCAATACCTTAATATTAAACAAAGCAAAACCTTACCATAGCCACCCAATCCATCAGGAGTACCATATCCTCCAGTGTAACTGCTGCCCATTCCCATTCTTCCAACGGAACCATAACCCCCTTGCTCTGGAAAAGAACAGTTACCATTAGTCTCTAGAAATCCTACACAGACTGAAATAAGAATTAAAAATCTGAAATCGAACCTACCCATGGCGTCTCTGCCATAGCCACCCATTCCAGAACCGCCTCCAGCAGTTGAATTGAGGAATAGCTCGATGTATCGATGCTCTTTAAAAGAACAAAAAGATTACTCCCACAAATGCAAGTGTTACAATTATCTGTACAAAAATCAAATGAGAAGGTACAAGACGTCAAGACATGCTCACTGTAACTTACGCATGTGGTTTTTATCTTTAGACATGGCAGCCACTGCATCTTCATGTGTCACAAATTCCACATCAGCCTCTCCAGTTGCTCTTCCATCTGCTCCAATGTCAATATGAACCCTTATAGGAGTCAGTGGTGAGAAAAACTAAAAGAAAGCAGCAGGTTAAAGCTCCTCAAATTGAATCCATGATTTTTAAGTCTGTCACGTCCGAGCTACACATAGTTGTGTCAAATAAATCACTCATCGTGCATGTGCATTTTACAGTACAAATCTGATTTTGCGGATCCGTTAGTTACTCTCATGAAATCCCTTAGAGTTGGATAGTCAATAAATTAAAACAAACTGGCCAGGGAAGTTTTTTATTATAGTACATGATAGTTTAATAATGCATATAATTTTTTAATATGCAACTGCATATGCAATTATTTCCTTAGTTGCTTTGTGTACAGAAAAATGTAAAAAAAAATGCTACTGCTTTGGGTCGTATATCTATAAACCGCACACTGGAATGATGTTGAAACATCAAGCAGAAGTAGCTGAGTTGATACAAATTAAGTATTTGGAGCACAAATTCCTATGACAAGCCAGTCTTTTGGTTTCTGCTTTGCTGTCTCTTCTATTAACATTATAGGCCCAGAATAGCTCAATTATACTTCTGATAATTACATTTGGTTAGTACAATGCCAATATTTACATTTTTGCATTAACCTGCAGTTATTTTCAAATCAAAGTATTCATCTTTTCAGCAACTTGCAATTAGCAGGTCCCTTCCCATTCTTCTCCCTGATTTATCTACCTATTATACTGTTGCTACTATTTAACATCATTCCCACTAAGCCACTAAATACTGATTTATATTACGCCCGCCCCCTTTATAAGCTTGCCTTACTTTGAAGATTTCCAGCTCCATTAGCAAGAAAAACACAAATTCATCAGCACAGAAGAATCAAGCAACCTTTGATACATTTCTATATTACGTTTGACTGACAAATGACGACACTAACATCAGGTTTTTAACTAATAGATATAGATTGCATGGCTGGCTAAAAGAAATTGAACAATAATAGCAATTATAATAAGTTATTATATTTGTTATTAGAAATCCTCTAATTTTGACTAATTTATATGCGTACCATTTTAATTGTAGTAACAGCTGTTTAAAATATGATTATCAGATTTATTAACCTTTCTGAATACTCTGTCAGAGAAGAAAGATGGGGATATAAATCAAATACTGGGGTTTTTCTTTTGCATTTTTTCTCTCCTTCTGTTTAATTATATAAAATCTCCCCACCCCAAGGGGAACTCTAACATGAAATGTGCACTTCAATTGCTTTCAAATACCACTGGTCTTTCAATTACAAAAAACAACACACACGTTTAATAACCTTAATTTATGTGCTTTTTGAAATTCTCCGAGGAAAGAAAAAAAGCAAAAAAAAAAAAGGAAGATTACTCTGGAACTTCTTGATACTTTAAAACAGCTGCATCTGATTCCAGATGTGACTTTTCATCTCTTGGAACTCCCTCCCCCCCGAACATGCTTGTTCCAGCTAGAAATATTTTCCACAATACTCACATTAGCAATATCATTTTCGGTGGCTCGAAAAGGCAAACCTCTCATGTGAACAAAATGACCACCCTGGAAACTTGAACTTGCATCGCCTGCTCCGCCATAGCCATGGCCTCCCATTCCTAAAAGCAAAACAGGTCCATGAGGGCACAACTGACTCTTGACTGAGGATCTATGCTGCCTCCTCTAAGAAAAGTAAACTCTACAATTGCGGTACCATAAGCGAACCGATCAGTTCCTGTACTAATGACAGAACTAGAGACGGTACATATCATTTCTTGTACCCAACTTTTTATAAACAGGATACTGAAAATGCCAAAGCAATAATCTATCTCTAGCTGAGTCTGCAATAGACAGCTGAACAACACGGTGATATTTTTTTCTTACCTCTCCCATCTCTCATTCTGTCATCATAGCCATCATTTCCGTAGGCATAATTGTTATAGCCACCATACTCATCAAAGCCACCATATCCTGTGAGATTTAAGAGGGGGACAGACTGTGAAGAGTCTTTAAACACCAAAAAGGATGTTAACTTAGTGCACAGAACCAAACTTGATTTGAAGTGAAATACTGTACGAACACTTCTGTGCAGACATAACAGGCTCAAAAGCATGCAAGCCGAGTTTCACTCATATTTAAACTCTCATTTCAGATGCCTCTCCATACCTTTTCACTCTCAAGTCATATGGCTGGTATAAACAAAGTGAAAGATAGCCAGGTTTCAGACTTGGTACGTATTACAATTACTGTCATTTCTGTATTTCTTGACCAAATGTCAGGAACGTGAAAATGACAAGAGCCTGTGGTCATTAGATACACATACCACCGTCATATCCACCATCTCCTCGATGGACTCTGTCATACATACTTCCACGCCCAGCTCCATAATAACCCCCTCTTCCTCCCATTGGTCTATCATATGGTCCGGGTCGCTGTCCCATCATTCTTCGGGGTGGATCATAGAATCCTCGGATTTCACTCCTACTACTTTTGAAGATCTCAATATATCTGAGTAAAAAAAGATTTACAATGTACAAATGTAAGAATACAGATATATACAGTTTGGAAAAATACAAATAACTGCATATATATTTTTTTTTAATTTTAAGTCTAGGTAATAGCATTGAAGACAAGTGAACACTTTTTTTTTTCCAGTGTCACTTTTAGGATTTAGGTTATTAAATGCAAAAACAAGTAGTTCTGCGATTTACTTTACTGACTAAAAATTCTAACTGCAAATTAAATACAGCAAATCTCTGAGCCACACTCCCCCCTGCCCCAGTAAAAAAGTTCTTTGTAAAAAGAAATCTGGCTATTATAGAACACCCTCCACACACACAAAAAACGCCCCCCAAAAACAACCAGCCCAATTTTAGCAAGCTACATAGTATTACCAATCCCCCTCCCACCACATCTATTTTACTCCCAGTTACTTAGGGTGTTTTTATTAAAAAATAGCCAGTTGATTTATGTACCCCAGCCCCCCCAAATGCAATTCTGACCCCCAACCCCCAAAAGATTTACCATCCCAAACTCTCCATCCCCACCTGTGCCCTATTCTTTCCTTGTGTTTCCCCAGAGCTTTTTCTGCTATCTCCTTTGAAGCAAACTGCACGAAGGCCTCCCCTGTGCTTCTCCCCTGGTAGTCCAGCGTCAATGTTATCCCATTTGGCACGATTTCCAACCCTTTAACCCAAGGACAAATAACCCCATCAAGGGGAAGAGTGTTAAAGTCTGAAACATTCCCATCTGTAGAAAATACTTAAAGCAAATCTACACAAATGCAAGAAAATAACTTAGCTTTCCCCCCCCCCAACCCAAATACACAGGCTAAAGAGTTTTCATTTAGACATTGTATTACTGTCTCTTTGTTCAGATTACACAGCAACAGCTACATCACAAAAGAACCCAGCTATACTGCATGATGTCATAACTACATACTCCAAATTCTGACTCCTAATAAGGCTATCTAAAGGTGTAAATTTTTATCCTGCCAATGCAAACTCTTTACTTTTAGTAGAGTTTTTAAACAAAGAATACCAACATTAGTAGTCTAAAGTTTAAAGGCTGATTCCCCCTCCCCCCGATGCTAATAAAATTTTAAGCTGTTTCAAATATCAATCTTGCAGACATAGAAACACTGAAAGTCACTTGACATTAACACTAGAGCTACCTTGAAAGAACTGAACGATCTCCTCCTTGCTGCAGCCAAATGGCAGACCACGCAATCGTACTGTTCCATCACTAGATGAATCATTTGGACCATTATGTTTCCCAGCCCAGTCCATTTTGCTGTTTAAAATCAAACACCATAAAAAACATAAACAGCAAATTTAGCATTTGAGAATGACGATTCACCCCCCAACCCCTTCCTTCCTAAGCAGGACCGTATAACATTAGAAACATCTTGAACTTTTTTTAAAATAAAATAAAATAAATGCAACAACTGCTCAGAGGCTGCTTAAAGAGTATACTGCTGTGATCATTTACAACTGCCATTGTCTTGAACTCATACAGAACTAGCATGACCTGCTCATGCAACCTGCCACGTAGCTATCCTCAAGACCTCGACCGATAGGCATCTCTATCTATGAAGACCAATTCTACTACTACTGCGGTTACTTAGTAGTTCCTCCCTCTCACATTTGCCCAGCCACTTCAATACACCTATTCAATCACTGCCGTGGGCACTATTTTTTAAATTCCTACTACTGCAGGCCAGTGAAGCCACAGCAAATTAGTTTCCTACAAATACATATGAAATAAAATGCATGCTTCTCGACCTGCATACAAATCTCATGGGCGTTCATTCCAATGCCAGCTACTAGAGCCAAGGCAGCAGTCCCACAGGGCTCAGGACTAGAATCCTCACCATTAAATAAATGGAAAGACAGTCAAACAACTAATTCTGGGGGCACAGGTAGAAGGTAACATTAAGCTAACAGGGGAAGGGAAATGAATCTGGGTGTGTGCACAAGAGGCTGCATTACCCCAGCAACATAAAACACCAGCAAAATAGAAAAGCAAGCTTCATGGTTGTTGTTTTTTTTAAAAATATTATTGAAATTGTAAGGTGCAATGCAAAGTAATTCTCAGAGGTCTGTATGGGAGCATGTCTATGCATAATGTGTACATACAATGTAAAAACTGTACAAATTGAGAGGCACATTTAATGATACAATGGCTAGCAAATTCAAAGTACAATTCACGTATCTGCAGGCATTTTCCTCCACTACAGTTAGACTAGCATCTTTCCACTTTAATCTTCCCCAAAGTAGAGTCCCTCTAAATATTTTGGACTATATTTCCCAGAATAAAGTATCTACAAATATACTGTCTTTACAATTTTATTTATGAAGTGTTGGTTGGTGGGATAGAACAATTTATTTTGAGTTGAAGCTCTCCCCCCCCCCCCCAAACTACAGGAAAGAGTAGGTTTTTCGAATATTAAATAAAAATTATAATGGGAAAAAATATTCTGCTCAGAATAGTTTGTGCTTTAGATCTCAGCTTGTAATTGAGTCCTACCCTTCCCCGTTATAAGGTTGGGCTAGAGATATCAGAAAGAAAATGATATTCTCAGCACACACATTTGGGGAGGGGGATTTCACAAAATGAGAAAAAAATGGATTTGGTACACATACTAAAAACATTTCCTAAGATTGCCACTGAAGTGAATTTTCTTGTGGAAAAAGGTATCTCACTATGATACATAGCGTAAGATATATCTCGCTACCTAAGGCTAAATTAAAGCAGATTTTGCAGAGCCTACTTAAGCCTGATGCTTTGGGATAATAAATAAATAAATATTTGGAGGTCTTATAGTCCAACCCATAATATAAATTACTCTGGAGGTAAATGCCTCCAGAAGTTGTAAATTCCAACACTGGAAGTTTTTAAGAAGAGACTGGACAACCATTTGTCTGAAATGTAACATTTTAGACAAATGGCTGTCCAGTCTCTTAAAAACTTCCAATGTTGGAATTCACAACTTCTGGAGGCATTTACCTCCAGAGTAATTTATATTACTCATCATGTTAATCCCTCAAGTTCTTGGAGAAGGGGAAAATTAGACCAGTATGTTAAAGTAAAGCTCTACGTCCTCTTTGCATCTATCAAGTTCCATAGCACATGTAGATATATTTATATTTCTTTAAAATATCCATCCATCCAAACACACTGCCAAGTAAAATACTAGACTTAAGCACTGGTTTTACTTTGAGGTTAATCTCACAAGCTTATATTTTGAAACTAAAGTCTCCATAATTGGCCATACCCTCTAAAGCCATCATACTAAAATTACGCAAATGTCATATTATCAAGTATTTTCCAGATTATAAAGGCTGGAGATTGTTTAGCTTTAGATATCTTAGGGAAAATTTTGTAGATTTTTCTGACTCGAGTTGTCTGTTCCCATTTTATAGATGGAACAGTGTTTAATTAGCATCAAAAGATATCAGCCGTATCCATATCAGTTTTACGGTTCTCTAGTGCAATGGTTTGTGGACAAATTAGATGACAGTGCTATTTTCATTTCTACTACTCAGGAGGTTCACAATGGAAAAGTTACTTTTTACCAGGGATTTCACTACAAATGCCTTTAAGACTCCCTACAATGGTCTTTCACCTTATTTTATCCCAAACAGCTCCTATTTTACATGTTTAATTTCTCCTCAAATGCCCAAAGGAGAGGTGGCAGCAAGCTAAAAAAAATCTAATTTTACATGTCATAGCACATGCTCTTGAAAAAAAAAATACTGACTAAAGCACAGCCACAGCTAGCAAAAAGTTACCAAATCCTGGTTTATAAACCCATTACCTGGTTTAGAGACCATTTTTCACCAAAGCTCTGTGGATTAACAAGTCTCTCCCAGCAGCCCATACATCCTAAATCAACTGCACCATTTTTTGTCCATAATATCTTTAAGTTCAACTAAAATTGTGTCATGAAGCGTTGAAAGTTTCCATTTGTTCAACAAGAACAGAAGCTTCCCCATCAAGAGCAAAATGCATTCTAAACATATCCCTAAAGAAGTTGATAAGCTGAACCAATTAGAACAGCCAGGGATGGTCACAGAAACATAAAGAGGAGCCAATGCCACTGGGAATGCCAGAAGGAAACTGTGGATCTCCATCTCCGTCTTGTGAAAATGCATATTACGATGCATGTAGTTATTCCAGAGGCTGCAGTCTCATTTTCTCTTCCTGAAAGTGAACATCTTCAAGTCTTTCTCAACAAAAACAAAAGTCACATTTCAACACATATGCAGAGTGATTCTTAGGCTGGGCTTTTTTCCAGGCAGATTACACATTCAAAAATAAATTCAAATCGCAGTTGAATCAGCAGATTTTTCCCAGGTTCTTTTCCTAGAAGGCAAAGATATTTTCACCACCACGTGATTTCCACAGACCTCCTCTTCCTTATACCCATCTCCCATTTCCATGACAATACAAAGCTTGGAAAGAATAGCAAGAATAGTTTTAAATCTTGGTAGAGCTATGGCTTGATATTATTTCACAATCAACATGGTTCCAGTTGACAATGTAGGAGATAACAAAACATTCCTTATTTTCCTGTTGTTTATCATTAGCAGAACCTTTTAACTCTGCAAATGGAGGTTGAACACATTATTACTGATTCTTAACAGACCTTCGTTGGAGCATACAGCTTAATAGACCTTTGGGGTAAGGCGATGTATTCTGTATTCAGACCAGCTTTTGTAGCTTTCCAATATAGTATCTTAGTTAATAAAAACATGTCCATTGTTTATCAGAATAAGGAATCTAGATTTTTTTTTACATGACCCATAGATGTAGACTTTCTTTTAAAAGGCTGTAGTAAGTAAACGAAAAATATTTAAATGCACTTGAAAAAAATGATTGAACTGTGTGGTAAAAAAAGTATATTATAAACAGAATTTAACATGCATACTTCTTGGAAAGAATTGCAACCCCCAAAAATCTTATTTCAGATCACCCAAATTAAACTGCTCTATTCCACCAACCAATAAAGAAAATCTGAAATCACTATGAAGTTTCATTCTGGAGGGTAGCAGAACACTTTACTCCAGTCCTGGGGATGGGATAATCCTATTTGTCTTCACTTGTTTTTACTAGTTCTTTTCAATAAAAACATGTTATACAAATGATTAATATACAGTACACACACTCTCTCATACTCCAATTAAGACACTTCTCACAATTAATATAGAATTGCAGCATCAAAGAAAGTCACTCCCTCTTTGCTGCTGTATAGGTTTAATCTCTTTGGGGCTAACACCTTTATTGTATTTAATTAGCAATGTACATTTGGAACATGTTCAAAATCCCAATTGTTTTATAAAATTAATTAGCAATATAATGAACAAAACAGAAATCAAAATGGCTAGCAAGAACGTGCTATTTAACAAATCTGAAATTATTATTTTTTTTACTATCTCCACAACACACACATGAAGTTTAGGCACACTAAAACAAATACATTTACAATTTCCAGTTCATTCATATTTTTCTTAATATAAAAAAATGAGAATTAGAACATAAAGGAGTTATATTCTATTTATGTGGAGCAAACAGTTGTTTTCCTGTTGAAGACTGCAATTCCTCTGGAACAATCTGTTGGGAACAGCACAGGTGGGAGCCAGAACAATCTGGCCAATGATGGAGGCCAGAGTAAACAACAACAACCAACCAACCAACCAAAAATCCCAGACACCCATCTCAAAAGTGCTTTTTCAAAAGGCAACTGGACTATTTTTTCCTTGAGGAGGAAGAACAAAACGCTTCGTTTCTCATCCAAGAAACTTCCATCAGTTGTGATGGCCAAAGACATCCACAGATGTTCAGTTCACAACATCAGTTATAATGTTCCACAGACATCTAGATATCCATCCTGATCCCCCTCTTTTCTTTCTTAAGCCACAAAGTCATGGAAGATTCTGTGTATCAGGGATCTTCAAACTTGCCCCTTTTATGACTTGTGGACTTCAACTCCCAGAATTCCTCAGCCAGCGTGCCTGGCTGAGGAATTCTGGGACTTGAGGTCCACAACTCATAAAAGGGGCAGGTTTGAAGACCCCTGCTGTATATAAACTCTTGCTCAAGAGTTGAACTTAGCCTTTTTCGGCTACTAATGAATTAGTCTCAACTAAATAACACATACAGCTGCAGTCAAAACCACATTTATACTAAATCTATGTTCACTTATCTGGGAGTAAGCAACACAGAACTCAATGGATATCACTTCTGTCAATGCACTTTACTGTATTTTTCCTGTAATTATTTACTTCATCTAACTTTGATCACTACAGATGTTTAGTTATTTAGGCAGTATATACAATTATTTTTACTTACCAAATGCCACCATTTTGCTCTCCTGTTTTATATCTAATTCAGTTAAGATCCTGTATATATTTACCCAAAAAGAATTTTCAGTCTGTTCAACAAAGTTTATTCCCATGTTTAATATTGTTTTAAACATCCAGACTTTATAACGGGGATCTTCAAACTTGCCCCTTTTATGACTTGTGGACTTCAACTTCCAGAATTCCTCAGCCAGTGTGCCTGGCTGAGGAATTCTGGGAGTTGAAGTCCACAAGTCATAAAAGGGGCAAGTTTGAAGACCCCTGCTTTAGAGGTAGTCCTCAACTTACAATAGGTCATTTAACAACTGTTCAGAGTTATAACAGCTTTGGAAAATGTGATTTATGGCCTGTAAAGCAGTTCTGGCAGTCATAGAATCTCATCACAGTCAAATGACCACATTCCGAGTACTTGACAACTGGCTCACATTTAAGACCCGTTGCAATATCCTGTGGTCACATGACTGGAACTTCTGAAATTGAACTTTTTTGTTCAGTTTCCAACATTTTCTGAGGTTTCCTGCAAAAAAAAAAAAAAAAGGTCCATTCAGGAGAATGGATTTGGGCTTATGACTGTGTGATTTGCTTGACGCTATAAAAAAAGGTTAAAAAAAAACCCTGGTCTAGTCACATAGGTGCCTCAAATTATAACCAAAATTTTGGTTCCAATTGCATTTGTAAGCTAAAGACTACCTGTAAAGACTTCTTGTACTTATTTTTAAAAAAATTGCTTTTCTGTACTGACAAACCTGTATCTAAAGTACTACTTAAGATCAAATTCTTGATGTGTTGATCAGTATTTTGAACTTCAGATTAAAACATGTAAAGCACTATAGAACCATAGATACAATAAGAAATTATTTATGAAGGTAAATTAAACTTTCCCATACATGTATGCAGAAAAGCTGCCTCAGTTTGAAAGGCACTTGGCACTTTTACTGAAACGACATTGTGTAATCAATGTAGACAATATCACTTTGAAAAATATAAATTACTATTTAACAGACTGCCTTAAAACTATCCTAGTAAAGGCACAATTATAGTTAGATCAACTATTATGTTATTATTTTAAATAATAAATTACTTAAATTGGAAAGTAGATTAGTTTCACCCCGCTTGATACTCTGGAAGTCCCTCAAGACCTAGTTTTGTCATGAGGCCGGAGATGTATTTAGATGGCTCCGCTACTGAGGTGGATCTACATACACATTCTCTTTCTGCCTCGGATTGTATAATTATAATTTGAGTTAATTTTTAACATTGACTTTTTTTAATGTTTGTTGTCATATATTTGTTGTTCCTTAATTACTGTACAAATCTTAATATGGTAAATCGCCTAGAGCAGTGTTTCTCAACCTTGACAATTTTAAGACACGTGGACTTCAACTCCCAGAATTCCAGTCAGCAGTGCTGGCTATGGAATTCTGGGAGTTGAAGTCCACATGCCTTAAAATTGTCAAGGTTGAGAAACACTGGCCTAAAGCCAGGCAATGTATATTTTTGGTAAATATCCCTACAAGGCTATGGACCCAGTAGTCCTGCTTAAGCATTACGTTTTTGTGTTCAGTACAACGTACAAGTATTTCTACTTGAGCTGGGTTCCAACTTGTATCTACTGAACACAAAGATTTCTGCTAAAAACAACCAGACTTGAACTAAGAGGCCCTAAATCAGGGGTCTTCCAACTTGGCCCTTTTATGACTTGTGGACTTCAACTCCCAGAATTCCTCAGCCAGGCACGCTGGCTGAGGAATTCTGGGAGTTGAAGTCCACAAGTCATAAAAGGGCCAAGCTGGAAGACCCCCTGCCCTAAATCAAGAAAGTATCTCTTCACTTACAGCACCAATGTGATTAAAGGGAGAAACCATTCAAGTTCCTGCTCCTGACTTGCTGGAACAAACCCAGCTAAGTATCTTTAGTCCTGCCATTTCTGAAATCCCATTCAAAATTCAACCAAAGCAGCTATCTATGCCAGTGTTTCTCAACCTTGGCCATTTTAAGGCATGTGGACTTCAACTCCCAGAATTCCACAGCCAGCATTGCTGGCTGTGGAATTCTGGGAGTTGAAGTCCACATGCCTTAAAATGGTCAAGGTTGAGAAACACTGATCTATGCAATAGTGGTCGCGGTTACATTAGTGACTATTCTTTGCCTTATTCCTGGTCTCAAAAAACGTAGATCGAGCGCAGCAATGACCTCCTCGAGTGGCTCCTTACAATCAATAGTAGGGCCTTATATTTGATTAACACAGTGGTTCTCAACCTTTTTAATGCCACGACCCCAACTGGTCGTAAGTCGAGGACTAAACCGGTCGTAAGTCGAGGACTAAACCGGTCGTAAGTCGAGGACTACCCAACCGGTCGTAAGTCGAGGACTTTCCCTGCCCGGGAGCGCCGCGCATGCGTGGTTCTGCCCCCTGAGCCGGCCGAGGCGTAGCTGGCAAGCGGCAGAGACGGAGCAGGCAGACCACCAGCTGGCCCATCCCAAGGGAGGTAAGGCACCCGCCGGAAAAGGGGAAAAAAATGGCGGACAGCCTTGCTTGGCAACCCCTGTGAAATGGTCGATCGACCCCAAATGGGGTCCCGACCCACAGGTTGAGAACCACTGGATTAACAAGACACAGAGCAGGTTAAGGCCCCACCAATCCCTGTTGCTGGTCAGCACACAAATGCCACACAACGACCTTGCGCTTTTGGAAATCTTAAATCTCAACTGCTGCAATGCCCGAACCGCTGCCATTAGTTCCCATGAGGCTTCATCGACACTTTTTCCACATTTTATACTCCGCGCTATGGTGTTCCGACCAAGCCCTGCCACCGACGGCCCGTTTCCGTTTCGTCAGCTCCAACGGACTCCAAGGCGCACCTGACTTCCGAGGGGGCTGAACGTGGGCTGCGATGCTTCGGGTTGCCAAGAGAAACCACCTTCCAAACCAACTCTTCCAAACTTGCCTTGAACCTTCCGCTTACGCCGACCACAGCGCGCAGGCGCACAAGCCCTCCGGGAGGAGCGGCACCGGAGAGGGGGGTCCTCGGCGGACGAGGGGTATCAAATGGCGGGAGGGCGCACGCTTCTTTTGTCACGCTCCGGGGACCCGCGTCGCCGTCTTCGTCTTTCCTCCACTCGGGGGCTCGCCCTACCGAGAGTCGCCCTCGCCCCTTCGAGTAGCGGCGGCTGCAGCCAGCGAGAGGCACCGCGATACCGTTAGCCCTTCGCACAGCACCGATACGTCGCGGCCGCCCCCCACCCCCGCTGTGGCCGTCACGTTAAAAATGGCGGCCGAGAGCAAAACACCCCAGTCGAACTTTCCCGCGCGCGTGCGCACGGCGCCGGTTTAACCCTTCCTTTCTCCTCGCCCCCTCCCTCTTTCCCCCTCCCCTCCCCTCCCCACCTGCCCAAGGAGTTCACCCGTTTCTCAGGAGCGAGAAGGCGGGTCCGCCCACCTCGGCTCTCCTTTTCCCCCGGCATGTCGGGACAAGTGGCCCGGCCGCTTCCCGCCACCCACTCACCGGCAACACCTCACCCACTTCCCCAGGCGATCGGCCCAAACGGCTGCGCGGAACTCCCCACAAAGAACAAGGAAGCGCTTAACCGACGGCCGACTAACAAGCTACGCAGCTGAGGCAAGACAGGATGGCGTCGGAGGCGCGCGTATCGCGAGGCTTCCCGTCGCCTAGCGGCGGAAATGGCGCATGCGCGGGAGAATGACTGGCAAATGAGGGGACGCGCCGCGCGGGGGGGGGGAGGAAACCGTCGAAGAGGAAGGTGGGGGTGCGCATGCGCGACGCGCCGCGGTGGCCTGAGGTATCCAAGAGCGTGGGGCGGTTTTCCGTTAGTTGGCCGCCTCCGCGGAACGTTGGAAATATGAAGGCGGTACCGCTCGTCAAGATGCTTGTCTCGGTGTTCAAGCAAACGTTCCGTTCTGTTAGAAAGCGCCTTTAAAAAGCAAACGTTCCGTTAGCGCGCAGAACGGTGTTTCTCAAAGCCGGCAACTTTTAAGATGCGTAGACTTCAACTCCCAGAATTCTCCAGCTTCCCCTGCTGGCTGGGGAATTCTGGGAGTTGAAGTCCATACTCCTTAAAGGTACGGCGGTTGAGCAATACTGATCTAGCAGTGAAAATGCCAGCTTCCAATCTTTTTTTTATTGTTGCCAGCATGTAAGGCACAGCTATTTAGATTTTATTTTTGTATTGTTTTCAGTGAATCCTTCCAACAGAGATGATTACAAGTCTGTCTTGATTTCCTGAACAAAGGATGTGCCAGTTTTCTGAAAAAAATAATTATACTCAATTCTTCTATTTTTCAAGACCCAGATTAAGTTCCCTTTCTTTGCTGTTATTTAGGCTAGGGGTCCCCAACCTTGGCAACTTTGGACTTCAACTCCCAGAATTCCCCAGCCAGCCATGCTGGCTGGGGAATTCTGGGAGTTGAAGTCCACAGGTCTTAAAGTTGCCAAGGTTGGGGACCCCTGATTTAGGCAAACGGTGACCATAGAATATAGCTCATGTAGTGTTCTTGTGGAGTACTTTAATACTCCTGATTCTCACATCAATTCTTGAACTAGAACTAATTTTCCTATTTATCAATATCCATATAAAAGTTAACTTTTACTAGTGGCAAATTTTTTTGCTCCGTTATACAGAGTCACAAAACAATATCCCAGATTTGCTTTGTTTTTCTTGTTGGCTTCAGTATATTCGATGTTTAGTCTTATCTTTGTAATAATTGCTTGGTTTTAATTTTGTTACAATTTGATCTTCTGAGAAGTTATATATTTTGATGTTTACAGTTTCTAAACTTTAAAAAGACACCAAAAAAACCGATACAATCAGCTGTATGGAAGGGTCAATAAAATATGATCAGACAAGTTTACAATTCTATTTGTCTGTGTGTCATTTATCAGTCATCAGATGCTATAACGTATACATTCAAAAGCCACGTCATTTTATTATGTCTTTTTCTTTCAGTAATTAGACTGGGTGTGCAAATCACTTTTATGTGCAATGTTCCAAAGTATAATTAGTCCTTGACATACATCTATAATGGAGCCCAACCATTAGGATTGTAAGGCCTAATGGTCATAAAGTGGGTCACTTACATCACTGACCCAATTTTATGAACATTCTTGCAATGGTCATTAAGATAACATAATAGCTGTAAAGTGAATGCCATAGTCATTAAGTGAATCCATTATTTTTTTATGGACCATTTTTTGTGAAAATGGAAGTTAATGCCAATTTTCAGCAAAAAAATAAAATGTTACAGGATGTGGCAAATGGCCATAAATGCGAATCAGTTGAACACCTGACATATGGTCTCATGTTTGGGGGGGGGCAGCTATTGATATTTTGGAACTGGGTTTTAAGTACCTTTGGGGTGGTCTGTTATAGTTTCAAATGGTTGCTAGGTGACCAGTTGTAAGTCGAGGACTACCAATATGACAGCAAACTTAAATGTGTTCATTATTAAGGTAATGCATTTTATTATTGAAATGCAACTCAGTGATCAGGAGCTCTGCTTCACATCAAAATCAGCTTAGAATAGAAATACTAAGTATGCATTTACCACCCCGTGCACATTTACTTAAAAACCTGTCTAATTTCATGTTTACCATCAGAAGATAATTCCAAGAATTACAAAGTATATGAATTCTTTTTTATGGCTACATATTATTTCTTTAATATGGCAACTTCATAGGTAGCTTTGTGGTGAACATGAATTTTAAATGAAAAACTTCATTTCATAATTAAGTTCGATTATATGATGCCTGGTCTTCCAGGTAGGACAAGTGCTCACACACAGAGACTTGAAAACATATACTGTATTTTGACTAGTATGCACAGTGAAAGAGTGTAATTATACTTTTTATAGTATCTTATAGCACAAAAGAAGCTTTGTTTTTAAAATAGGTATCATATTCAACAACGCAGTGGAAGTAAACAAATGGTAAATCAAATATTGCAACATTAGTGTTGCTAACAACTTGTTATAGATGCACAGTCAATGTCTTTCTATACTTGGGGAAAGAAAATCTTGTTCAAAATTGCATGCATTTCTTATTATAAAATCTCACATAGCAGGTGAACTGGGATTACAAATCTTTTTTTTAAAGTTTTTATTAGTTTATAATATACGATACAATCGAAATACGAAGTAATTTGCAGGAAAGATGGGAAAGGGAAAAGGGAGTAGAGAAGTGAGGTAAGGGAGAAAAAAAGGGGGGGGGAAAGGCATTGACTTCCGACTTCCTTTGGTACAATAGAGCAGGGCTTTTTCAACCAGTGGTACGGGTACCACCTGTGGTACATTGGCACCTGGCAGGTGGTACGTGACCATCCTAGAAAAGTGGTAGCGGGGGAGGGGAATGAGCTGAACCGGTGGCAGCACCGCACAAGCCTGAGCGAGAGATGGCTGGAGCTGCAGGGTTGTCAGGGCTCAGCGGAAGCACCAGGATCAGTGCCAAGCTCCAGCTGGAACTCAGCGCTGATCCTGGAGCTTCTGCTGAGCCCAGAAGAAGCGCCGATCAGCTGGAATGTTGCAGCCTCTCCAGGGTCTTGTGATTTACCTTCAGATGCTTGGCAACTGATTCATATTTATGACGGTCACAGTGTCCCAGGGTCATGTGAAGTGACCAAAACCTGCTGCAACCACCCAGCAGATGGGGGGAATAAAAACCAAACACCCCCCCCCACCCCACCCCTGCTGCCAATCCTCAACAGAAATGCTCACAATAATGAAAACCTCAGACAGGAGGAACAACGTGGCCGGGCGGGCAGGCAGGTGCCTTGCTCGGCTGTGGCTTGGGGGGCACTTTTTTCAGTGCCATTGTAAGTTTGAACAGTCACTAAGCGAACTGTTGTAAGTCGAGGACTATCTGTACTTTATCACTTTTTTCCTTTTTTTTTTGGTCATCAAGTTTTTGACACCTTGCTAGGCGACTGGTGGTACTCGGATGTTGCCATATCCTAAAAGTGGTACAATGGGTGAAAAGGTTGAAAAGCCCTGCAATAGAGTATCAACTTCAAACCTCAACTTTTTACTTCTACAAAATAATATAGACTAGCCATTTCAGTAACATCTAATCTAATACTGATAAAGCCCATAATCAAAATTTCATTTGTTTCCACCTCAAGCACAAAATCTAGAAGTGGTTTCCACGTGGCAATAAAACTATTCACATTCTTTTCTTTAATCAGTATACAGTCAATTTAGCCATCTCTGCTAGCTCCATCAGTTTTTGTAACCATTCCTCCGTAGTAAGAATTGATGTAGTCTTCCATTTCTGAGCGTAATCTTGTTGCTGTCAACATAACATCAAAGTTCCATATATATTTTTCCAGATCTTTGTCCATTAGCCCCAAGAGAAAAGTCTCTGGTTTTCTATATTTAGTTTAAGAATTTTCTGTATTAACATATGAATCCTACTCCAATATTTTCTTGCTTTATCACACGTCCACCATAAAAGGTAAAATGTCCCCTCTTTGTCTTTACATTTCCAACATTCATTTGAAATACCTTTATACATTTTTGATAACTTGTTTGGTGTTCAGTACCAATGGTACATCATCATGTAAGAGTTTTCTTTTAGATTATAATTTAATGTAAATTTTAATCCTGTGCTGCTAATGTAATGTTAGGGAGACAATGGCTACAGCAGGTGAAAAAGCAATGATGAAAGGAGGGGAAGGTTTGTCATTCACCTAGTCAAAACTACAACTGCCTGTATTTTTCTATGTTTGGGGATGGAATTTGGATTTTTTTTTATAATGTAATTTTCTTGAATTTAAAAAAAGAAAAAGAAAAATTGAGCAAGAAGAAAAATAATTGAAAAAAGGAAAATTTAGGAAAAGAGCAAGATAAAAGTGCAAAACAAAAAAAGATAAAGAAAATATAAAAATAATAACTTCCAACTTTGTTTGGAAATAAAGAATACATCAAATTTAGACTCTAAAGTTCCTAATAGTCTACATTATTTCTATAATCCCTTATTTCTAATCACCAAATTAAAAAGTCACAATTTCATTTCTTCCAGGTTTTTTTTGCAAAAAGTGGTTTCTAGGCAGAAATAAAATTGGTCAGTCTTTTCTTTAATCAAAGCTGTCAGTTTCATCATTTCTGTCAATTCCATCGGTTTAGCTATCCATTCTTCCATTGTAGGTATCTGTAAGTCCTTCTACCTTTGTGCATATAGGAGTCTTGCCACTGTTATATATAAAAACAAAATTCCATAAGATCTTTCTATCCATTAACCCCAAAAGGAAAAATCTCTAGCTTCAATTGTATGTTTATTTTTAAAATCTTCTGACTCAAAATACATATTTGATCCAAATATTTTGTCGCTTTCTTAATGTTGTTTGGGGATGAAATATGAATTATTTTATTTTTTGCTAGCTGAGCCCTTACAGATGTCTTTCTTTGAAATGGTAGAAACTGCTGCCAGATGCCAACACAGTTGTGTTTCACACCTAAAGGATGGCAAAAAGTCATACTATAGATACTGAAGTAATGGAAACATTAAATAACACAGTAGGTTTTACTTCTGAGTAAATTTACAGAATCACAATTGTCCTGGCAAACGCTTACTCACATAAACAAAAATACCTCTTCAAAATCCCATAGTAAATAATAATGCCACAAATTGCTTAGTCTTTGTGTGGTTGCTGAAATAGGTACAGAAGGCAAAATGTTAAATCAATTTAGATAAAAGATTACTGCTTCTTCCATTGAGTTTAATATTAACTTGGACATTTCCGCAATAGCAGGAAGAGAGACTCAGCAAATTCTAAAGGCCTATTTTAAAAAGCCCTGTAAAATTCTGTAAGGAAGAAAATGAAGATTTCAGTTTTCATAATTGATGCCTTTACCAAACAGCCCTTTGGTGGGAATCCTGCTGCTGTTTGTCTTCTTGAAGATGTAAGTTTTAAACAAATTCCTTTAGTTTAAAGAAAACTAACTAGCAACGTCTTTGCTATTTGTGAGTGACGCCATTTCCTTTCACTAGAATTTACTTAACTGTTTATACAAAGGATTAACTGATCCTTTGGATCTATATTGCTTATTTAAGTGACAGGTGGAGGTAGGGATGGGAGGTTTCCCCTCAGGAAAATCTTTTGCCAGTATTTTATGAAGCCACTGTATATTGCCAAAGATTTTGTCTGTATTCTGAGGTTTGCAATTGAAACTAAAACACAGCCTTGCATGATCTATAACCAAGCTTTGCAAAGATAGAACACACTTCTTTCAAAACTGGAATTTTTCGACAAGTTTATGCAGGCTAGTTTCTTTCTTTTGAACCAAAAAGGTTGCCTCAACTTTGTATGGACAGTGGGCTGATTATACAAAATTGAGAGAACAAATATAAAGTATTGTATTTCAAAGTGGCCACAAGATGGCGATGGTTAAAAACATACTGTACATTATGGTTACCAGGATATTCCTTTTGTTTTGCTGGGCTTTGATAAATTGATGACGATAACACCCGGATGGCCATGTATCACTTCTAAGGTCCCTGCCTCAACTGTTCAGAATTCTTCAAAGTTCTTTCATTTTAACAGATTTATTTTCATTTGTCAACAAGAATAAAATGCAAAACAAAAACAGAAAAACGAACATCCAACACTAACAATGAAAAAAAAAGAAAAAAAATTATGTACAAAAAAAAGGGGGGGGGGAGAAAAATGAGAGTTGAGCAGTCTCTAACTTCAAAGCCATTTTTTGAAACGGAACATGAGGGGGACTGTTTTATATTTAAATATTTGTTTATTTAAATTTATTACATTTGGTACCCAGAAACAAAAAAAAAAAAAAATCAAAAAGAAGATGGAGCACAGAATACTTTGGGTATAATGAGTGCATTATGTTTGGTCACACCAGCCATGGCAGTCCATTTGTTCCTGGCTAACCTTTGGCAGCCATTTTGTGTGTGTGTGTGAGAGAGAGAGATCATGTGTTCTCAACATTACAGATGTGCCCCCCAAACCTAACGATCTCCTGAAATATAGTCTAAAACTTATTTTGACACAGTACCAAGATCTCTTCTATTCTGATTCTCATAGTTTGGATGGTGCCCCCCAAAAGCATGCACTGCATCTGTCATGGTTCCGACTAATGAAACCAAATAAATCAGAACTCTGAGGCTTGAAGTTTCCTCAAACTTTATTGGACACATAATATCGGCACGGTCAAAAGTGAAACCAATTCTAAAATTCCTCCCAGGGATGCAGTGTAACTAAATGTAACAGTTCCCTCCCCTCTACTATGCTAGTGATCACGCTACCCAATGAAAGCAATTGGCAATCTCCATGACACTTCTCTCCACCTTCCAGCTCCTGTGGGAATGACCTTGGTTCCCACGGGACCACTCCGTGTTTAATTTAACAATACTTTTGTTTTCCCCCCTTCCCCCCCCATACTATGTGGCAACTTAGAACGACAAAGATGGCTTGAGCCAGGTTCGTTTCAGAAGTTGACAGCATCTATCGCAGTATTTCTCATCCTCGGCAACTTTAAGGCATGTGGATTTTAACTCCCAGAATTCCCCAGCCAGCATGCTGGCTGGGGAATTCTGGGAGTTGAAGTCCATACCACTTAAAGTCACCAAGTTTAAGAAACAGGTTCTAGACCTGTCTTATTTGCCCCTATTAACTATAGGGGCTTTTGTAGTCCCACCCTAGGATTTACTTTGGGGCCAACTAAATGTTTGCCAAAGCTAACTATTCTCATAAAGTTGGGCACAAGCTCGATTCTGGGGGTTCCCTCCCATCATGAGTGCCACCTCTTTGATGTCAAACAAATGGTCGTAAGTCGAGGATTACCTGTAGAGAGACACTGTATTTGCATTTGGCTACCAGGGTTTGGCTGCCAAAATGTACATAATTACTAGAGGCCAGGAAAAAAAGATTTTTCTGTACTCAGCTGCACACATAAACATAAATACATATATAAATACAGTAGTATTTATTGTCACTATGTAATGATTATAAAGAGCAAAACATCATTTCAGAAAGCTGCCTGTTAGAGTTATTTATTTTTTATTGGTTTTCTTCTTGAATGTTCTTTTGTAAAGCAAAGTTAAAACATAAACAATTAATTTTTAAGGCTCCTTATGAACCTCCTTCAGATTTGCCCCTTTTTTGAAGTTGGTCCTTTATTTTATTCCAAGAAGATGTGGTCACCATAGATACAGAGCACATCACTTTGAATCAGTATTTTGGATAGACCAGGGGTAGTCAACCTTGGCTCTTTTATGACTCGTGGACTTCAACTCCCAGAATTCCTGAGCCAGCTGGCTCAGGAATTCTGGGAGTTGAAGTCCACGAGTCATAAAAGAGCCAAGGTTGACTATCCCTGGGATAGACCACCGTCTCCCAAAGGAACTGGAACATGAGTGATTTTTTTTTCATGGGTCTTCTGTACCTCTTTGTTCAATAACGAATTGGGAGATAGAAATGATCCTCTTCCTTGGGTGTAAAGAAGAATGTGTTGTTTATAAGGTACATTTAACACAAAATATTTATAAAAAAGTGAAACATGATATGCTTGCTACAAAAGACATGGAATGCATTTGTAGATCAGTTCAAATTTGTTGTTCGTTTTAGGAGCTGGAAGAAGGTTTGCATCAAAAAATTGCTGCAGAAATGAACCTCTCAGAAACAGCATTCATCAGAAAACTGCACCCCACAGATGACTTCACCAAAAGTAAATAATCATTTGTGTATTGAAATGTAGCTTTGCTGAAAGTTGAATTATTAGAGGCGCTTTTGATAAAGAAGTAGGGTGTTATTGTGATAGATTATGAAATGAAGGTGAATATCTATCCTATAGCTGAATGGCATCCTTAGGTGGTTCAAGAAATTGCAGGTGGTGGGTATAGCTGTCAAATCAAATCAATCTAAGTGATTCTCTAGATCAGACATGTCAAACACAAGGCCCGGGGGCCGAATGCGGCCCGCCAAGTGGTTTCATGTGGCCCGCAAAGCCATCCTGGAAACAGTGAGGGAACGGCTCCCACTGCCTTGGCCCTGGCCCAGGATGGCCGGCCGGGAGCCAATGTACAATTTTGTGGTGGCCATCTATGCTGAAACGCATTCAGTCTCCCTCTGACTTTGCCCTGGTACCCATCATGAACAACCTGGCTAAGGAGAGCAAGCACAGCAGCAGCAGCCTTGAGGAGGAGGTAAGTGCAGCTGGGTGTCCCCTTGGGGAAGTGGGGCTGGGCTTGGTGCCACGGGTGCTTGAGGGCCAGGCTGGGCATTTGACCTCTGCTGCCCAGGGCTTCCGGCAGCTCGCACCACCATCCAGCCCCCCCCACATGGCCTGAGAGGAACAGTTAGGCTCCTCCAGTGGACCATGCCTTGGCACTTGCCCTTGTCCCACCCCCTTCTACCAGAGACCCTCAGATCTGTCCCACTCCTGCCCCACAGGCACCCTTGACGCGAACGATGTAGAGCTGGCCATGCCCCCCCAGTAGGCCATACCCACTCCCCCCACGCCCCCCCAGTAGGCCATACCCACCCTGGCCACACCCACCCGGCCTCCGGAGGGCAACTGCAATGCTGATGCGGCCCTCAATGAAATTGAGTTTGACACCCCTGCTCTAGATGACCAAGTCGTAAATCAGCAGCAGTTCTTTCTGTACAGATATTGCATGACTCCTGTTCTTCGGACCAGGTAACCATCTGACCACTGCAGTTTGCACCAGTTGCAAATTCTGCATTTTTTTTTCCAAGGGTTACTCATTGGAGAGAATGATGTGGTAGTCAAGGCAGATGGTCTCCAAGTCTGATCAGCAGCTGGCCCATTCACTATATTGTACAACATGCTCCTTCCAACAGCTAACATCTGCAAATTCAGTAACAACTTCAAAGGCCCCTCTGAAAGTGCAAATCTGCTCTTTTTTGGGTGTGTGTGTGAATCCTAATCAAACAATCTTCTAGTTTTCACCACGTCACCAGAACCTCCACCTTATTTAGGTTTAATTTCAGCTTATTCTCCCTCATCTTGCCCATTTTTGAGATATTTCAGTCTTGAAGGATACTGGCTGTTTCCTTGGTGTTGGGTGGTAGGACAAGATCCATTCCATCTTACTACAAAACTCCAAATGATCTCCCCCAGCAGATTCATGTGAATATTAAACTATATAAACCTATACAGATTATAAGATCCAGTGGAAGATTTCAAGCAATGCTGTAGATATCAAACAATGACTTATGCAAGTGTTAGCGATCTGTTCTAAGCTATTTAAGATATGATAAATAAATTTGATAAATAAATAAAAAAATAGTTATTTCATTACTTTTTATGCAGCCCAATTAAATTTTATAAAATTAACCCTTGATATCTTAAATAGCTTAGAATAGATCGCTTGGAGATGATATTTTCTTGCAGGTACCTTGTGAATTACCAGATAGTCTTTAGAGCAGTGGTTCTCAACCTTTTTAATGCCGCGACCCCAACTGGTCGTAAGTCGAGGACTAAACCGGTCGTAAGTCGAGGACTAAACCGGTCGTAAGTCGAGGACTTTCCCTGCCCGGGAGCGCCGCACATGCGTGGTTCCACCCCCTGTGCCGGCCGAGGCGTAGCTGGCAAGCGGCAGAGACGGAGCAGGCCGACCACCAGCTGGCCCAGCCCAAGTGAGGTAAGGCACCCGCCGGAAAAGGGGGGAAAAATGGCAGACAGCCTTGCTTGGCGACCCCCGTGAAATGGTCGATTGACCTCAAATGGGGTCCCGACCCACAGGTTGAGAACCACTGCTTTAGAGGCATTTTTAAAATATATGAAGCTTTTTCAGAATGCCTCCCCCCAAAGAAATGACCTTGGAGTCAGTTTTTCATTTTCTTCATTGTATTTTTCTACTTTAAAAAAAAAAAAGAACATTGAGTTTTCTGAATTCCTTGTACCATTTTTGCTTCCTTGTTTAATTTTTCTGCTGTTGAAACATCATTTCCAATAAGAGTGATTCTTGAGCACCCTCTTTCAGGTTCGTGTTTTGGATTAAGATGGTTTACACCTACAAATGAAGTCCCTCTGTGTGGCCATGCCACTCTTGCATCTGCTGCTGTATTATTCCATAAAAGTAAGTGGTTATTTAACCATTCACAGTTTGACACAATACATGTTTTTTAACCATCCTGATGGTTATGCATTTCTGATTTTAAAAACAGAAAACATGAACCCCGCCCTCACTTTCCTAACTCTTAGTGGAGAATTAAAGGCCAGACAAGCGGGAGATGAGATTATCTTGGATCTGCCACTTTACTTCACTTATCCACAGGTTGGCTTTACTCAGTACCTTTTGAACATTTCCTTTTAAAAGTGAAAGGCACACATGATTTTAATATTGCTTTCATATTTCTAGGATTTCCAGGAAGTAGAAGAGTTGGTAAAGGTAATTTGCACAGCTTTTCCCCCCATTATATTTATCGTCATAAAGGCTACCTTCACATTTATTCCTACATGTGAGATTTAATCCCCAAACTAAATGAAAACAATGTCTAAATACGGTACAAACAAAGTGGGAAGTTAAATATTAAAAGCCTAATAAAAAACCCACTAATTCAGGGTCAAAACCTGTAAGATGGTGGGTGAGGCATTGCATCTAAATCCCACCCCTTTTGTATTGCATGCGGATGATGCGGTTAATGAAAATATTATGGCTGTGGTTGATCTCCCTTTTTAATGCATTTCTAGAATTTTCCCTGGGTGGATCTATATACATATTCCATTTTTCTTTGCATTAGGTACCTTGCCAGAAAGTTCACTCACTTTTAACAAAACAGTGAATAAAAATTCTACATGGAACCTTTCTCCTTAGCAACAGAAGTCAGCCAAGGGTGTCCACAGGATATGTCCAAAAGGCAGTTATAGCTCTACACATGTATCACACACACACACACACACACACACACACACACACACACAAGGCAAAGCCTTGATCAAACTATCACAATCCCATCTTGCCTTTTGAAACATGCTCTACAAACACCCCTAAATCCAGTTCTAAAGAAGGACTAAGGGTGACATGTTGTGTGTGTTCCAATGTCTCAGGGGTTGCCACAAAGAAGAGGGGGGGGGGGTTCAACCTATTCTCCAAAGCACCTGAAGGCAGGACAAGAAGCAACGGATGGAAACTAATCAAGGAGAGAACCAACCTAGAACTAAGGAGAAATTTTCTAACAGTGAGAACAATAAACCAGTGGAACGAATTGCCTTCAAAAGCTGTGAGTGCTCCAACAGTGGAGGTTTTTAAGAAGAGATTGGACAACAGTTTGTTTGAAATGGTATAGGGTTTCCCTGCCTGAGAAGGGGGTTGGACTAGAAGATCTCCAAGGTCCCTTCCAACTCTGTTATTCTGTTACTACTGGCATTAAAAAGTTTCCTGATGTGTTTGGGGATCCTCTGGTTAGTGCCTGTTAGAGGTTTAGCAAAGGGTACTTAAATCATGGACTGAAGTTAAGGCTAATACAGACTTCAGGGAACAGGGATAAAACTGGTATTGCCAGATGTAACAACAACAACAACAACAATAATAATAAAAAGTTGAAGGGGACCTTGGAGGTCATCTAGTTCAACACCCTGCTCAGGCAGGAAACCCTATACCATTTCAGACAAAGGCTGTCCAGTCTCTTCTTAAAAACTTCCAGGGTTGGAGCATTCACTGCTTCTGGAGGCAGGTTGTTCCACTGATTAATTGTTCTAACTGTCAGGAAATTTCTCCTCCGTTCTAGGTTGCTTCTCTCTTTGATTAATTCCCATCTGTTGCTTCTTGTCCTGCCTTCAGGTGCTTTTGAGAATAGCTTGACTCCCTCTTCTTTGTGGCAGCCCCTGAGATACTGGAACACTGCTATCATGTCACCCCTAGTCCTTCTCTTCATTAGACTAAAATGACTAATGAAGAAACGTTTGCTATGTGGACATGAGAAAAATATGGTAGCTCTTTTTGGCTTATTTTGTCCCATTTTATCACTAGGCAGCAGTGGGGGATATGAACGTTCAAGAGGTCCGTTATTCTCCTGACACAAAAAAGCTACTTATCTGTCTCAGTGAGGTGTATGAAAGGTATATGAATTTCAATTGCACATTTCTTTAGATGATTGCATGTAAATTTAGAAGAGAATAGACCTGAGGTATGTAAAAGCATTTGGGTTAACAGCTGTTTAGCTTTAAATGGGAGGAGTGTCGAGGTAATGATTTAGATGTTAACCAGCTGATGTAATGTACGATGTAATGATGGGAATGACTCAGCAGGGTTTATGTCCCTTTAAGAGCCAGCTGGGTCTGTGTCTCTTTAAGAACCTTTGTATAAAAGGAAGGCTCTGTTGCTGTTCTCTCTCTTCTGTATTCGTGCTATAATGTTGTGTTGTGAGTTGGAGACTCCTGTATTAACACGTGTATGTATATTGTTCCTGGTGTATGATATTGTAGATCAGGGGTCTTCAAACGTGGCCCTTTTATGACTTGTGGACTTCAACTCCCAGAATTCCTCAGCCAGGCATGCTGGCTGAGGAGTTCTGGGAGTTGAAGTCCACAAGTCATAAAAGGGCCACGTTTGAAGACCCCTGTTGTAGACAGTGTAAGATAAACCACCATTTAATATAGACTACTGTTTACTGTGTTTACTCCTGGGTTATCTCAGCACAATAAGACTGTGCTTGCTCTGACAAGTCTCGTCTCCCTTCCTTAGTTGATTTCCTTCATTTCTTTGATCCTCACAAGCTATGGGAAGGAAACATTCCTTTTACCTCTCTCTGTTAATTTTGCTTTGCTTACCCTGCTCCAGCTTGATGCCCTCCAGATGTTTGGACTATACCTGGCACTCCTTAGTTGGTTGGGAATTCTACTTTCTGGGGATTCTTAGTCCATTTAGGGCAGGGGTGTCCAATATTGGCAACTTGAAGACTTGTGGACTTCAGCTCCTGGCTGGCTGGGGAATTCTGGGAGTTGAAGTCCATAAGCCTTCAAGTTGCCAATATTGGACACCCCTGATTTAATGGATACCACACAGAGGAATCTCGTTTTGGACAATCTTCTTATTACTGGCCTTTTTTTCTTCTACTAAGCTTAATATTTTGCTTTCAAATCTATATTTTGCATGGAAAATGTGCCAGCAGTCAGAGCTAAAGCTTACAATTACCATTGGTATTATAGTAATAAAAATGCAATATCATTCAGTTCTTTGTTGTTGTCACTGGTATTTTTAGTTTTGCATTTTCAAGCATTTGACTCCTTAACAATGAATGTTTGTCACCAAGGTATGATTTGGAGAAATTAAAAGTGGATGCCCAACGTCTTTTGTTGGCCGACAAGACTGGAAAAGTCAAAGGTGTAATAATCACAGTTAAAGGAGATTCTCATAAAAATCATGAAAGCTATGATTTTTACTCTCGTTATTTTGCACCATGGAATGGCGTTTCTGAAGATCCTGTCACAGGTAAGTTTGTGTACGGAGGGCTTTTCCTATTTTTATTAGATATAGGTGAATAATTCTTGTTTAAGAATAGTAAAACAAGAGAACAGCAAAGCCCCAAAATAATATTTCATCTGTAAGAGGAACAGAATATGTGTGGAAACATAATGTTTCATAAGCAACTGCTACTAAAGTAGATGTTTATCTATAAAATTCAGTGCACAATAAATTAGTTTGTCTAACTGGAATATTGTATCCAGTTTTGGCCATCGGGATACAAAAAAGATGTTGAGACTGTAGAAGGGGTGCAGATAAGAGCAACAAAGATAATTAGGGAACTGGAGAATAAAACATACAATGAATGGGTTGCAGGAACTGGGTAAGTCTAGTCTAAAGAGAAGGACTAAGGATGACATGATAACAATCTTCCAATATTTATGGGGCTGTCAAAAAGAAGAGGGGTTTAACTCATTCCCCAAAGCCCCTGGGGGCAGGGCAAGAAGTAATTGATGGAAACTTAACAAGGAAAAAAATCCAACTAGAACTAAGGAGAAATTTCTTGACAGTGAGAAAAATTAATCAGTGGAACTGCTTGCCTCCAGAAGTTGTGGGTGGTCCATCAGTGGAGATTTTAAAGAAGAGACTAGACAACCATTTGCCTGGAATGGCATAGGGTCTCCTGCTTGATCAGGAGTTGGACTAGAAGACTTCCAAGATCCCTTCTAATTCCGTTATAGTGTTATTGTTACTGTCTTTAGTGTGCCTTAGGACTGTTTGATGACAAATTTTTGATGTAACATAATCTATGTTTTTTTCTTTACTATGTACATGATACGGTTATGTAGCATTTTGGAAATAATGCAGAAAAGACATTTTGGAGTGCACAGAAGTTTGAATGTAACTCCTGTCTGCAACTCTTTAAAGCCACTATGTGTTTTCCAGGATGGTACCCCGTGCAGCAGTCACATGATCCTGGAGAAAGACATGACAGTTTTAATGAATTGCAGAGAAGGCTGCAGACATGTCCCTGGGTGTTCCAAAGGACAATTGTGGAACTGAATCTGAAGCATTACCCAGCTCTAGTACTTAGTTATGAATAAGTGGGTGTCTGGGAAGTCTAATCAATTCTTAAAATGAGTAACAGAAAATGGGCAATGGTACTATTATGTATTGTAGTCTTTAACAGCCCTTCGGTTCAGATGACTTCTGAAGGTGTTAGATTAAAAGTCTGTCAGGTCAGGGATGACACAATTATAACCCAACACACATTCAGGAAAGTGCCCTTGAAGCAGATTTGATCCACTGAAAATGGTGGGATTACAACACAGAATGGGAGGCTAAAAATTCAGAAATATAGCAAACAACTGAGAGAACATTTCCAGTATACTGTATATGTTTTTTACTTGTTAGCTGATAGGAAATTTATTACAGAAATCACAGCAACTTATACTGTTGCAATAATTACTATTAAAGTTTGTAAAGTGCTTTGAACACTGATCTGCTATAATATTGTCATTGTTATCACAGCTATTATGTCTTATTTATCTTTAAGGATCTGCTCATGCTGTATTAAGCAGCTACTGGTCACAACAACTGGGAAAAAACAAACTATGCGGTAGGAATTCCTATGATTTTACAGAGTTTCCCTTTTAGGTCTCTGAGTATAATCTGCCTAAATTTTATTTGCAATATCCTTCTGAACTCTTGAACTGAAACAAGGACATTGGTTGTTTCATGGGTAGCTCTGATACTGTACAAGTGGTACAGATTCAGCCATCCTTCCTTGCCAGATTTAATTAAGATGAAAAAAAACCCAACCAGGTATAATCGTTTCTTCTAGTTTGCCCACGCAATGAAATTACTGTAGCTTTAATTCTAAAATTAAGGATTATGGCAAATCAGTGGCATTTAAATCAGTGGCCATCTTCAGGTAGTCCTCAACTTAAACATTTGTTTAGTGACCATTCAAAGTTACAACGGCACTGAAAAAAATGACTTACAACCACTGTTTTGCACTTATGACCACTGCAGCATCCCCATGGTCACATGATCAATATTTGGATGCTTGGCAACTGACTCATATTTATGACGGTTGCAGTGTCCTGAGGTCAGGCGATCACTTTTTGAGACCTTCTGACAAGCAAAGTCAATGGGAAAGCCAGATTCACTGTACAATTGTGTTACAACTGCAGTGATTCACTTAACAACCGTGGCAAGAAAGGTCGTAAAATGGGGCAAAACTCATTTAACAACTATCTCGCTTCGCAACAGAAATTTTGGGCTCACTTGAGGTTGTACACTGAGGACTTCTTGTATTTTTGGAGAAATGTAGATAAAACTGTTTATATTTCATCTATTCCAGCCTGGCCTGTGTTTGTATTGTAGGCAGTTGCGTTCAATTCTCCTATCTATCTGCTCTTCAGAAGTGATCAGCACGTTAATTTGGATAGAGAAGCATATTTCCTGTTTACCTGACTAATTCTGTCATTGTTTAGCATTTCAGTGCTCCAGACGTGGGGGAGAGTTGAAGCTTCTGCTACGCCAAGATGGAAGATTAGACATTGGTGGACAAGCTTCCTTTGTGTTAGAGGGTTTTTTGTCTCTTTGAAAAATAATGAAAAGCACTCAATAATTACATGCTTCCGTTTTGAACTCACTGCTGATATGGATTTGTTTTTTATGTAGAAAATTATTGTTGGATATTCAAATCAGTCTTGATCTTGGTAACTACATGGACAAGGTTTCTTGGCAACATTTTCAGAAGTAGGTTGTTATTGGCTTCTTAGGGCCAAGAGAAAGTGGCTGATCCAAAGTCACTCATTTGGCTTTTGTGCCAGTGGTGGGATTCAGCCGGTTCGCACCACTTCGGCAGAACCGGTACCTAATTTTTTGTTGCCCAGGCCCAGAATGGACTTCCGGAAGCGGCATTCACACAGAGAACCAGTTATTCACATATTTGAATCCCACCACTGTTTTGTGCCCAAAGGAGGACTGGAACTCAGCTCTTCTCAATCACAATTCAAATCAATAAAGCAATAGCATTTAGGCTTATATACTGCCCCATAATGCTTTACTCTCTGGACAGTTTAAAATGTAGAAGCATTATTTGTATATTGCCTCCAACAAGCTGGGTCCTCATTTTGCCGACCTCAGAAGGATGGAAGGCTGAGTCAACCTTGAGCTGGTCAGGATCAAACTCCTGGCTGTGAGCAGAGTTTGCCAGCAATACTGTACTTTAACCACTGAATCACCAGGGCTCCTAAAGCAAATCAGCTCTGATGTAGAATAATACTATTATTTTAGCTGAAAATAAAAACAGTGCAAAATTTGGAACCTACTTATGCAAACATATCAATATGTAATTTGCATAACTATTTGTCTATCTTCCAGTGGGTAATAATAAATGAAAAAACTGCTTTTCTTGTACAGTTTCTATTTGCCATTATTTTTTGGGATTGTCTGGGACATCTGAAAGCACTGGTGACTAAACTCAAAAAAACCAACAACAAAAAAAGACACATCTAATTAAATTCAACAGTTCACTCAGTCCTAGCCTAATCATAAGATTTTAAGTCTATGGAAAGCAAGCTTGAGTTTGCTGGACCTGTAAATGAACACTTATAACATTTCCTGAAAATTCAAATCTGCAATAGGCAAAGGCTGCTTCTAGGTGACCTGCTGACTCTACAGATATGTCAATGTTGTTTCTTTAATAATGTGAGAGTGTTTGGCTCCTACTTTCTCTAGACAGGGGTCTTCAAACTTGGCCCTTTTATGACTTGTGGACCTCAACTCCCAGAATTCCTCAGCCAGTGTGCCTGGCTGAGGAATTCTGGGAGTTGAAGTCCACAAGCCATAAAAGGGCCAAGTTTGAAGACCCCTGCTCTAGAATGTTTCCCAACTTCCTTATCTGGTCTACTGCTTTGGGATTTCCTAATGATCTCTCATCCAAATACTAACCCAGTTTGACCCTACCTAGTTTGTTCAAGATGAGCAAAGGTTGGCTAGATGCCATCTCCTGCTGAAGACACTAGGGTAGTGGGTAGTTGGATAAACTAAAGGTGAGACACTTTTTTAATATTCCCCCCCCCGATCTGTGCAGCGGGACATAACAGAATAACAGAACAGAATAACAGAGTTGGAAGGGCCTTGGAGGTTTTCTAGTCCAACTCCCTGCTCAACCCAGGAGACCCTAAATTAGGGGTAGGCAACCTTGGCTCTTTGATGACTCGTGGACTTCAACTCCCAGAATTCCTGAGCCAGCATAGCATAGCTGGCTCAGGAATTCTGGGAGTTGAAGTCCACGAGTCATCAAAGAGCCAAGGTTGCCTACCCCTGCCCTATACTGTCCCAAACAAGTGGCTGCCCATTTTGGCACCCATTATTTTTTTCCCAATGTAAATGCCACATTTTGGTCAAGACAGGTAGAACTACTAGCATTTGAACAAGGCTGTGACAATATACTGAAGTTCTTCCTCATTGAAATAGCGAAAAAAATATCCCATGCCAGTTGATATTGAAGGTAGCCCAGCAAATGTCTGAAAACTCACCTGCATTATTTCACACAAATGGTTTTTCTGTGCAGTAAGATGCTAATGAGGAGCTGCTTATATGTGGTTCAAGAAATTTCAACTGCATTCTTTACAGATTCTAGGTAGGTTTCAACAGAAGGACTATTGAACAAAGTCAGGGAAGTACATCTGTAGTTGCTTTCTATCACACTTTGTATGGCCAAGCCTGTAGAAGAATTATATATCAAGATCACCCTGCATGGCTATGTAGAATACATTTTAGCTTCTTGGACATAGCCACGAAAGTTTGCCTTATTAAGATAGAATAACAGCAGTTTAATTTCTTAATAGTTAGGCTGGCTAACCTGCACCAAAGCCTTATTACCAGTCCAAAGATAATTCCATGCATGGAGGACTATAAACCGGTTCAAAAGCAGCTCTTTGTTATCTCATTAACTTGACAGAATTGGCAGCTGAGTCTATTTATTTCTGCCTCAGTTGCAGCAAAACGCAATCGTGTAAAGAGCAATCTTTTTGCAATAGCAAAACCCTGTAAAATTTGTGAAGAGCCTGTTATTCCACTGGCAGAAAGTCACCAGATACTCTTTCATGGGCTCTTGAATTTCGGCTGCTGTAGCAGGTCCTGTAAATAGAATATTATCAGGCGGCAAAATGGTTTCAGAAACTCCTTCTTCCTTCTCTATTCTTGTTAGTAGGCTACTATATTAAATTATTCCCTTTCAGGAAGTATTTTTCCAGATTCTGAAACATGCATCTTTCTAATTAAAAAACAACAATACTTTGTTGTGTTGTTCAGTTTGTTCTAGTTTCGTCCAGGTCTTCTCCATCATTTTTGTCCAAGATTATTAAATGTAACCTGGGCAGTGTATGGGTTGGATTGTCTGTGACCTGCTGATGGCTCAAGCAAACTGTCAGTCATTGCTACTGGTGCAACTTTTTGAGTTCATTAGGATTTGAGAATACTGTATTTCAACCGTATATTGATTATAATGTTGAATTGCACTTTTTTGGTTTATACAGAAGTCTTTGTCCTTACTTCTTCCCTTGATTTAGAATAGAATAGAGCTGGAAGGGACCTTGGAGGTCTTCTAGTCCAGCCCCCTGCTCAAGCAGGACAACCTACATCATCTCAGACAGGTAAATGTCCAGTCTCTTCTTAAAAATCTCCAGTGATAGAGCGCCCAGGATTTCTGGTGATAAGCCAGTGGTGGGAAGCGGTCTTGAATGCAAGAAATAGGAACAACTCCAGCACTTTGCTACCATCCTGTGGTAGATATTTGAACTGTTGGCTGATTGACCAATAGTAGAAGACTTTTATTGTATGACAAAGAGAGAAAGAATAGCAATAGGAATAGCACTTAGACTCATATACCGCTTTACAGTGCTTTACAGCCCCCTCTGAACAGTTTACAGTCAGCCTATTGCCCCCAACAATCTGGGTCCTCATTTTACCGACCTCAGAAGGATGGAAGGCTGAGTCAACCTTGAACAGATGAGAATTGAACTGCCAAACAGGTGGCAGTCGTCAGTCAGCAGAATTAGCCTGCAATACTGCATTTTAACCATTGTGCCACTACAGCTCTTAGAAGAAAAAAAATGCTGCCCATATAGCAGGGGTCTTCAAACTTGGCCACTTAAGACTTGTGGAGTTCAACTCCCAGAATTCCCCAGCATGCCATGCTGGGTTATAATATAGCATAGTGTAGAACAGGGGGCTTCAAACCTGGCCCTTTTCAAACTTGGCTGAGGAATTCTGGGAGCTGAAGTCCACAAGTCTTAAAGTGACCAAGTTTGAGGACCCCTGCCATATAATAATTAGATTAGTGCCCTCCACTCCTGGTGCCTGGCTGAGGAATTCTGGGAGTTGAAGTCCACAAGTCATAAAAGGGCCAAGTTTGAAGACTCCTGCGCTGGAGGCTATGAAATGTTACATGGTACATATAAAGTTACGCAGCCGTGATGCTTAACTGAAGCTCCACCTGTTTTTTTTATATGCAAGCTTCAGTTGAACCATTGTAGCTTCCATCTTGACTTTTTTGACCAGACCCTGCAAATATTCTTGTCTCAGCTGTGTCCTTATTGTTCAAAAGTGGATGGCAGTGAAGACAAGGAGCGGATCTGCTTTGGTGGAATTGGAGAGGGAAAACCAAATCCCTGAGAGTTTGTGGTTAGTAAAATTAATCACTGTTGGAGGCTGTGTGTTTCTGCCTATAATTTACCTACGTGAAAAATGTGTAGCATTCCTGGAGTGCATTAAGAAGGCAATTATTGTGTTCATTTGTCCAAACCTAACAAATAGATGGTAGTGTTTTGTTTCCTCCGGGAATAAATAATCACCCAGGCCTAATAAGTATTTTCCCATCACAATTTTCGTCATGAAACCAACATACTTGCTGCTGAATGCAGCTTTCTCCCACCTTCCTAGTGCAATTTTTATTTTGACATAATTTATTTCTTCATTGTCTCAAATTCTGTTCCAGGCAGCAGAGATCTGGGGTGGGGATGGGGTGGGTGGAGGGGGCTGGAGATGCCCAACACAGGTGGGAATCTGAGCTCTAAGCGTGTTTGTAATCAACAGATTAGCTAATCAGCCATGATTTATTAATGATGCATTAGGTATTCCTGATTTTGCATTTCTGCAGGCTAAACGGAGCCTTAAAGAGGCTCTTTTATTAATCATTGTGGTGCTAATTGCAGACACTTACAGAAGGACTGCTAATTAAACATGCAACCTATGCAAAATGAATTCTTAGCTGCTGAGAATGGCAAGAATAGAAAGTCTTGTTTTCTGAGCTGGGAAACTTTGTTCTTCAGAAAATATTACAATATTGACCCAACAAGCCAAGCATGTTATTTGCCAAGAGTTCTTTCAATGCCTTGGACTCCTACCCAAGCATCCCCCCCACTGCCTTTCACCAATGAAAAAACCCAACTGCAACTAAGGTATGTATTTTATCCAGTTTGATGATGTAGAAGTTAGAAGGTTTGGATCAGAAAAACCAAAATGAGAAACAAATTATTTCCGAGACTTGTTTTAAATGTAATTCAGTCTACTGATGATCTGCCAGCTCTTTTT